CTCCGGTACTCCGGCTTCTAATCCACCAATAAAAACTAACAGCTACCAAATAGCACAATAGTGCTGAAAGTGGCATTAAACACCAATCAATCAATATATCTCATTATTATACGCCCGTTTACGGTATACCGTTGTCCGTCTGTCCGTCCGTCTGTCCATCCGTCTGTCCGTCGTCAACATGTCGGACATTAACTCAAAAATGCTTTAACCAATTTGCATAAAACTTTGGTGAATTGTTTATATCTATTGACGTGAGCTCCCTTTCGTTTTTTATAAAATTTAGATTTTACGTTTCCGAGTTATGGGGTTTTATTCATTAAAAAAAGGGGGATTTTCCAGTTTTATACGACCGCAAAAAAATTTTTGTGGTCGTATATTGGTATGACGTTGGCGTCGTCGTCGTCGTCGTCTGGCATCGTCCGGCGTAGTCCGAAGACACATTGGTTTTCGCACTCTATCTTTAGTTTAAGTGAATGGATCTCTATGAAATTTTACCACAAGGTTCAATACCACAAAAGGAAGGTTGGGATTGATTTTGGGGGTTATGGTACCAACAGTAAAGGAATTAGGGGCCAAAAAGGGGCCAAAAATAAGCATTTTTGTAACTTCCAGACATAACTTGTGTGTTAGTGTATGGATCTCTCTGACATTGTACCACAAGGTTCCATATCACAAAAGAAATGCTGGGATTGATTTTGGGGGTAATTGCCTCAAAATTTTAGGAATTAGGGGCCAAAAAAGGGGCAAAAAACAAGCATTTTTCTAGTTTCATGACAATAACTTGTGTGTAAGTGTATGGATCTTTCTGAAATTGTACTACAAGGTTCCATATCACAAAGGGAAAGCTGGAATTGAGTTTGGGGGTAATTGCCCTAAACGTTTAGGAATTGGGGGCCAAAAAGGGGCCAAAAATAAGCATTTTTCTAGTTTCCAGACAATAACTTGTGTTCAAGTGTATGGATCTCTCTGAAATTGTACTGCAAGGTACCATACCACAAAGGGAAGGCTGGGATTGATGATTGGGGTAATTGCCTCAATATTTTAGGAATAAGGGGCCAAAAAGGGGCAAAAAACAAGCATTTTTCTAGTTTCAGGACAATAACTTGTGTGTAAGTGTATGGATCTTTCTGAAATTGTACTGTAAGGTTCCATATCACAAAGGGAAAGCTGGGTTTGAGTTTGGGGGTAATTGCCCTAAATGTTTAGGAATTTGGGGCCAAAAAGGGGCCCAAAAACACATTTTTCTAGTTTCCAGACAATAACTTGTGTTCAAGTGTATGGATCTCTCTGAAATTGTACTGCAAGGTACCATACCACAAAGGGAAGGCTGGGATTGAGTTTGGGGGTGATGAATCATAAGGGGGTTCTAAAAATTTAGGGGGAGGATTTTTTTTTTTCCCTTTTTTTGTTTTTTTCCTTTTTTTTTCTTTTAAAATTTTCCATTTTAAGTTGGTTATTTCTGATTTATATTTAAAAGCAAATAATAATGATATGGTAGGAGATACACACCAAACAGGATGTGTAAATTATTATATAATAAGTATTGTGCAATAGCAAGAAATTTTCAATTGCACAGTATTGCACAATAGCAAGAAATCTTCAATTGCACAGCATTGCGCAATAGCAAGAATTCTTCAATTGCACAGTATTGCGCAATAGCAAGAAATATCCAATAGCACAATATTGCGCAATAGCAAGAAATTGTCAATTGTACAGTATTGCGCAATAGCAAGAAATATTTAATTGCACAGTATTGTGCAAAAGAAGATACTTTGTATAAATTGCTTATTTCTTGACCAATTTCAATGGGGTTTCATTCTTGAATTCTTGGGGTTCCTTAATATCCTGAATCTAACCGTGTTTTTAGTTTTTGGATTTTGGGCCCCATTTTTAAATTGGTCCACATTGAGGTCCAAAGGGTCCAAAATTAAACTTTGTTTGATTTCATCAAAAATTGAATTATTGGGGTTCTTTGACATGCTGAATCTAACCCTGTATTTAGATTCTTAATTTTTGGTTCCGTTTTCAAATTGGTCTACAATAAGGTCCAAAGGGTCCAAAATTAAACTTAGTTTGATTTTAACAAAAATTGAATTCTTAGGGTTCTTTGATATGCTGAATCTAAACATGTATTTAGATTTTTGATTATGGGCCCAGTTTTCAAGTTGGTCCAAATCAGGGTCCAAAATTAAACTTTGTTTGATTTCAACAAAAATTGAATATATGGGGTTCTTTGATTTGCTGAATCTAACCATGTATTTAGAATTTTGATTTTTGGGCCCGGTTATCAACTTTGTCCACATTGAGGTCAAAAGGGTCCAAAATTAAACTTTGTTTGATTTCATCAAAAATTGAATTCTTGGGGTTCGTTGATATGCTGAATCTAACCATGTATTTAGATTTTGGATATTGGACCATAATAGGTGAATGTCCAATTTAAAATTTTTAAGTTCTTAGACCACATTCATTCTGTGTCAGAAACCTATGCTGTGTCAAATATTTAATCACAATCCAAATGCAAATGTATCAAGCTTGAATGTTGTGTCCATACTTGCCCCAACTGTTCAGGGTTCGACCTCTGCGGTCGTATCAAGCTGCGCCCTGCGGAGCATTTTATTGGACAATAATTCAAGAATGCTTTCACCAACTTGCAAGAAATTGTGGTGAATTGTTTATATCTATTGACATGAGCTACCTTTCAATTTTTATAAATTTTAGATTTTACGTTTCCGAGTTGCAGGGTTTTATTCATGAAAAAAGGGGGGATTTTCCAGTTTTCGGACAAAAACTCAAAAATGCTTTCAGCAATTCTAATGAAACTTTGGTGAATTGTTTGTATGTATTGATGTAAGCTCCCTTTAGAATTTTATAAATTTTACATTTTACATTTCTGAGTTATGGGGTTTTATTCATTAAAAAAAGGGGTGATTTTCCAGTTTTCGATGATGTTGTCACCAATTCTCATGAAACTTTGGTGAATTGTTTATATCTATTGATGTAAGCTCCTTTTTTATTTTCATAAATTTCTAATATGACATTGAGAATTAATTGAACTTTATTTGTTTATAGTCTGACAACAGATTTACTAAGTATTGCACAACAGCAAGAAATCTTTAATTGAATATAAATTCAATTCATATAACCAATTTCAAGATCTTTGACTACATTTATTCAGAAACCTATAATATGTCAAATATTTAATTACAATCCAAATTCGAACCTGAATCAAGCTTGAATATTGTGTCCATTTTTGTCCCAACTGTTCAGGGTTGGACCTCTGCGGGCGTATCTAGCTGCACTCAGCGAAGCAGTTTATTTTTATATTGATGCACATCATGCACATGTAGAACTGTAGCTGCACATGTACATGTACATTTATTTATATATCTTTCTGCATGTATACAGAGTATATAAATACATCTTTCAAGTAAGATAATTTTGTAAGTACTTGCGTTTCCTATAAGGATTTCCTTGACAAACAGAAGTCACTTAAAAGGAAGCTACAGTTTGTATTGTCCCTAACCATAGGTGCTTAACCTTAATGCTAAATTCAGAGTTAAAATCATCTCTTTGAAAATTTTCCAGATGCAGCCTTCACGATATACTTTAATTTTGAGTCAAACATGCCCGAAGCTCAGTTTTTGAAAATTTTAGTTGGATTCTGTTGGCTTGTAGAGAAGAATTTTACAAGCGTGAAAGCAATTTTACAAGCCAATGCCGTAGGACTTGTGGTTAAGTGTGAAGACTGCAGATGACATCACAACTTGGTTAATTGTGCCATTTAATGACAGGAAAAACCTTATTTATCATCTGTTTGAGTATGGGTATTATTTTCTATGTTCCTCACAGTACCACACCCTCTGTATCCCCCCTTTTTGTATATACTCTTCATTGTTTATTCTTTCAAAATATCATGCAGAGCCAAATTTGGGACTTAATCAGACGGCTGGAAAATGAAAGCCATAGTTATCATCATCTTCAGAGCAGGAATGCTATTTTCTGCATTCTTAACATTGCCTCACCCTCTGTTTCTTTTCCCTCTTTTACACATGCTTTTGATTTTTAAATTTGAATTAAAAAATTTCTTTCTCAATCAGATGACTTGAAAACCCTTCATTATCATCAGCTGCACACCAAAAATGGTCCATTGCTGGATTAGGAAGATTAATTTCTTTTTCCCCCTTTTTTTACATTTCTTAATTTCTTAATTTTTGTGTTCCTCAAGGGACCTCTTGTTGTCATAATTATGCAGGATCATGTTTCATTATATCAATATATGAATAATTATGCAGCAGTATTTAGAAATGACCCATGTTCACTTACTGAGAAATCAGTAAATTTTTTCAAGTAAGTCTAATGATTAATTATTCTCAAAGGTTACATATATATACATCTATGTATCCAAAACTACATTGACATTTAACAGTGGCATAAGGAAAATTGTGGAACTGATAATCGTATGATAGTTGCATCAGTAAAGAAGGATTTAGGAGATGTATACTATATACATTGACTTCTTAAGCTAGACCGTCATGTTAACTGCATTGATGATAAATAAGGGAGGGGGAGATGTACTGGTAGTCTGTATGAGGTGATTTGTGCTTCCTTACTATCGTTTAATTTCTAATTACAAAATGTATAACCTTTGTTGAATGTTTCCATAATTGATTGCATGATATTGTATATGTATGTCATATAATTAGCTACCTGTAAAAGAAAATCAGTATAATTTAAATACATGTTTTTAATTTAAGAAATGGAAATTCCCTCTACTTCAAAAACTATATATAATAAGCTACATGTAGCTAATATACAACTGATCAACCATGTACATGTAGTTGTAATAATGACCTACAAATGTACTTTCATATCTGGAGTATAAACATGTATTGTACCTTTATACATAAAACTTAAAAGGTTTCCTGAAATATAATAAATGTTTTCTTTTACCAACTACTAATGAAAAAATATTGATTAATTCTTTATTGATTTACTTCCAGATTTTACAGCATGCCATTGTAATTTGTGTCACATTCAGCAGCAGACACAGAGACTTAAGGTTTGTTGTCATTGGTTATTACTTATTTTTGCGTCTGCCATTAATTTGTGATGGAGAAATCATTAAATGATACTTTATTCAAACTGTTTATGTTTAATTTTTAATGGAGACGTAAATGCATAAACATGAACGTTAAATGAATGGTGTATATATATATATATTTATATGCAAAGTTTACATGTACTTGCAATATATTGGTCTTGAGAGATAGGTAGATGTTTTTTTAAAAGTACATGTACATGTAGACAGTATATGTGTTTAGTGCCTTTAAATAACAAAAATACTGGTGATGGTTTGAGCCTTTATCTTGTCTCAAGAGGAGATCTTGAATTAGTAAATAATTACACGGTATTTGTAGGGGAATAAAAGTATAAAAAGACACTCAAATTGAAGGATAAATGGTAATTATTGTACATTATTGAATGTGAACTTAGCATACCATGCCCTTGGTATAAACTTTATCACTAAAATGATTGTGCAGTCAAAACCCATATCATTTATATAGTCATTATATCTACATGTAGCACTCGCTTTTTTTTTATCTTGGAAACATATTTATTTTTGCACTTTATAAAGATCTATTGAAACACGCAATATTAGTTAGTATATTCCAGAGGCAGGGGATTTAGGGAGGAGAGGGGGCAGGGGGCCCAGGCCCCCCTTATGGAGCTTTATATATGATAAATGCATAGACTTTACTTCTACATGTTCTATTCAACTGATATCTTCAGACTGAGGATGTATTAAAATCCCCCACACTGACCCTCAATTGATTTCTTTATTCAGAGGATATCTTAAAATTAATTTACTCTGAGTAGGTATTAAAAAACTCCCACAGTGACCCTCAATGGATTCCTTTACTCAGAGGATGTATTAAAATCTTGAATTATTTCTTTATAGTGCTAAGACTTCCCTAAACATAGCTGTGTGTAAAAGAATGGAAGTTGTTATATCATTAATGACATTTTGATTATAAAGTGACCACTTCCTCTAGGATTGACTGAAATTAAAGACTAGTAATTGATATTATTACACTGGTCAGTCTTGACAATTTAAAGCACTGACCATTCATCTTTTGTGGGAGTGTGGGTTTTTGCTTAGGACACATATTCAATTTTAATCAGAACAAACTATTTCTTTTTAATGATATTTAATACAGGAATAAGATTGTATGGGAAATTCAAATTTTTTTGGTATTTTCTTTAGAAATTAACAAGTTGAATTTAACTTCCTTTATTATAAATAATTCTTTTTTCAAGAAATAAACAAACATTTTTAAGAATTTCTTAAAAGAAAAAGCCATGGCCTCTCATTGAGATATGAATGGTGTTTAGTAGAACTTTGGATCTGAACTTTGATTGATTTTGTAAACCAAATGGAATTATATATGGATGTATACATGTGTACAATTGATATATACATCTACATATGAAAATTAAAACTTTAGATTTATCATGTATTTATTTATTTTTGTACACAAAGACAAAAGGTTCCTACTTTAAGTCTTATAGGACAAATTTAAAAAAAATACATATTTGTATTTCTTTTAACCTCAATTTAACACCTTCCCCAAATTGTAATTGGCATTTTTGGTAAAACAAAATAGTATCAAAATTGGAGTTTTCCACATATATTCATGGTATAAACAGATTCCTTTCTACCATATTTTCTGTATGGAAGAAACTTTAAACACACACAATATTTTGTTAAATTGCTTTAGATCCTGAAAATAGAAATTGAACTATGCTGTACCAATATTCTCTGTAGGATATTTTGAAATAAAATCAAATAAATAGACATTTAGCAAATTATTTATATAATATGTGCCTTGCAAGAGAAATCTGAAGGGCTATATGTTTTTTATTTTCTTGCTTGACCTTTAACTACATGTATGTTACATGACCCCAAGCATCTGCATGAATATTAACATTTTTCTGATTTCAATCTACTGTAAAAGGACACATGACTTTTTACTTGTTTGATTACTTTAACACCAATCATGCAGTAAATAAGGTTAAATGTTGCATAAATTAAATTATTGTTCATGCATCATGTACATGTGTACACCAAAATCTAAGTTTATGGAGAAAAAAGGGAAGCATTTAAAAATAAAATATTCTGAATACTTTGCAAAATGATATTTGCAGATATTTTGGTATTATGGTATTTTCTGTTTTGCTTTCAAGTACTTAACTAATTGACCACATGTTCATGATATTTAGATTGATTGATTGGTTGTTGATGTTTAACTCCACTTAACAAGCCAAAGTGCCCAGAGATAATCACTGACCTAAGCCAGAAAAACTGACAATCCTAGTCAATTAAGACTAGAGTCTAATGTACCTGCCACGTGCAAGGTTAGAACTCAAAACCTAACGGGCTAGTGATACAGTGGATGAACACCACTCGGCCACTAAAGGCCCCATATGATATTAAAAACAATCGTTTCTTATTTTAGAAATTAACCGTGAGTAACTCTTTGTTTAAGGTCTAAAAAAGGACATTGGTCACTGTTATATTCAGATGTTATGTAAAATTGAGTTAAAGTTGGTAAATTTTGTACATGTATGTAGATTGAGAAAAAAATATAGATTGTTTACAGATAAAATTATTGTCTAAATATTGTCAGGAATTATTTGAAATATATTTCAAGTAGTATCTCGTTAAGTCTATGTGAAATTTAGCTTGTGATTCATATACATGTATTATATGTAAAGAAACACATCTACAATAAGAGGCATAGTAAGTCCCCATTGGAATACCAGTCACTTGATGGTAATCTGTTTCTTCAAAACAGATAAATAATTATCAAGAAAAAAGTTTGTTGCATGTCCAATTACAATCTTTTTTAAATTATAAATCAAAGTACTGAAGTACTGAACATCGGATGACCACAAGTTCTTGAGGATGGTCAAAAGCACTTGTCTCAGAAAAAAACCCAACATATCTCTTTACCTGAAACTGAGGTTAATGTACAGAGATATATTTTTTTCTAGACAAGTGCGTGCGAGTATGATGAATAAATGACAGGAAATTCAACTTCACCGTAATAACTATTATATTGTAGTGATACAAATCAGTATACACTGATTTGTTGTTATATATTATATTAAAATAACAGTTACATATATATATGATTTGCATCCGTTTGTATATCATTCTATTCTACTGTTCTAATAATAGTGCAATGCAAGTGCATGGTGGACATTTTTCTGTAAAAATTCGATTTTTCTAAGATTGGATACGAGTAGGCATTCATATTTTCCCGCAAAAACAATTACAGAGTTACCGGTCCTGTCGCAAAACGTTCTTTGAGATATTCTTCCGCATGCTTTAACACAATTTTTCGGTACGTGTGCATTGATATTATCAATGATTTTTTACTTATATATATATATCTAACTACAAAACATTTTCACATTATTAATTTATGTTTTAAACAAAAATATTTTTATCAGTATTCATTGAAGAGATGTATTTATATCAAATGACAAGGAATGTTATTTTGCACTCGTTTATGTGCGCATATTTATCATGTTTATAGATCGGTTACAAACCCAAACCTAATTTACATAATGGAAATCTAGGCGATAGCAATACATCGGAATGACCTCAAGGTCATCGCGATGTAAAAATACAAGATATATGCCAATGAGACAGCAACCCGATGATTAAAATAGTCAAAAGATATTATTTATTTTCATCCCTGAAGAAGGAATTGTAACAATTTTAACAAATACAGTTCATGTAGTTACACCCACATTTATCGAAAGGCCAATACATCACACAGGAAATATTTTGTTTGATAAGATATTGTGGTAATGTTACGTCATGTGGTATGTAGTGTACAGAGTACAGTAAATATAAAACCACATACATGTATTTCTGAAAATATCTTAGTGTACATTCTTTAGGCATAGGTTAATAAACTGTTTACTTTTTGATATACATTGTTGACATAGCTGTACATGTTATAAAGTAAGTTGGACAGGACTGAAATTCCAAAAGTTTTAAGAATTGTATTTTTTCAAGTTGATTGTAATAGTCTGTTATATTACTTTGACTTGACCTTATTTGGTTCATTGATCAACCTTAAGATTTCATATTTCAAGAAGAGTTCAGTTTCTCAGTTACTACTAAAACAAGGAATTATTTGAATCTGGAATAATTTTGAATTCTGGAAAATTGATAAAAAAAATAATGAAATCTAACCCAACTAAATAAGGTTAGCCATAGAAATAAGAAGATGTGGTATGAGTGCCAATGAGACGATTCCCCTTCCAAGTCACAATGTGTAAAAAGTAAACAATTATAGGTCAAATTACGCATGCATGGCTAAGGGGGGTTATTTAGTTAGTTGAACTTAGTTCATACTGAAATATCAATCAAATTAACTTTAACCCATGGCTAACCCACTAAAGTTTGGTTAGTTTACATCATACTATTTTCCAGAATTCAAAATTATCCAAGATTCAAATAATTCCTTGTTTTAACTAAAAGTACACACGTATCCGTATAAGTAGTTTGTAGAGTGCAGAATAAATTTAGTGAAGGTGACATTACTGTCCAAAAGGGTTCACTTGACCTAACATCATTTTTATTGTTCATTTAAAATGCAGGGGTTAATTTGAAATTATATTTTTTAGGCAGGGGCCTGTAAGATTGGAAAAAGTTTATACAATTATTCATCAACTTGGATGGCAAATTTCAGGATAAACTTGACTTTTGAATAATTTTCATTGGGACTACATGGGGCCTCTAGTTGTACCCTTATTGTGTTACAGATTAATGCCTGTGATGTTAAGTTTCTTGCTGATGTCAATTGATCATTAACTTTATTTGATACATAAGATGCATCTTTTATATTCACCTCCTTGTTGCAAACATATAAACTCTGGCCTGAATATTCATAAAATATTTGCCACTGGAAGTTCAGCAAACAACAATTAATCAATCATTAATCTGATTCTGAAATGTCTAGTCTTCATTAAAGATCAAATTTATAAAAGTATTTTGTTTTCAATTGTACTATATTTCATTGCAAAACAAGGAAAGGTAAACTTCTAGTCAAAATTTCCCACCTCGTGATAGCATTATGGTATATTGAAAAGGATAGAAACTCTCATTAAAGAATACCTTACATTTTTTTAACATGTTTAATCATATATGCTACTGAAAATTATGGATAACAATTCTAGGAAATGTATTATTTGTCAACTTATCTGGGGGTATATATGGATGGGGTTTGCAGAATGGAGAACTACATGGATGAGCAATATACTACAGAAAAATTGGCTAAAAAAAGAAAGAATAGAGAAAGAAAAGCCAAAATAAAATATATAATGGAGAATAATGGGGTGCTAAAATGTAAAGAATAGAAAATAATTGGCAAAATTTTTAAAGAATCTATAGATAAAAGTTACGGATAAAATTAAAGAATACATAAGTCAGGAGCCTCTAGCCTTTGTTAGTCTTGTATTATTTTTAATTTTAGTTTCTTGTGTACAATTTGGAGTTTAGTATGGCGTTCATTATCACTGAACTAGTATATATATTTGTTTAGGGGCCAGCTGAAGGACGCCTCCGGGTGCGGTAATTTCTCGCTGCATTGAAGATCTGTTGGTGACCTTCTGCTGTTGTCTGTTCTATGGTCGGGTTGTTGTCTCTTTGGCACATTCCCCATTTCCATTCTCAATTTTATAATCATGATAATTGAAGGACCCCCATCCAAACCCTCTTATCTTATAAGGAAATCTCATGATTTTTATCCTCTTTCAGTTACGTACAGACACCAGGAAGAAAAATCAAGTGTTGCATACACTAAGGTTAGGTTAAGATCAAATGATTTTTTGAATATAGTTGAAGTGTTCACTAAAACATCAAGGTCAGAAATATGAAACAAATTCGTTATAACTACATCTGTGTATAGATGAATCAGTTTACATACTTTTGTATTATAATTGCCATAGGATAGGGTTTACAGCTTTTCATTGACCTTTGAAAAATTTTACAGTAAGTAATTATAAACAATATTAGTATTGTTCTAGTTGACTCATATTTGACTAAGCCCATTGTGTACAGTTATCAGTTATCTAGCATATTGTGTACCGGTATATGGTGCTGATTTTTATATGTCGGTGCTAATTTTACCAAGTGACTTTAAAATTGTAGTTTTCAGATACGATATTTCCTGCTTATTGTTAATTTTACTCACATCTAGATGAATTAAAATGATATTATTGATGAAAGATACACATAATTTGAAAGATATTAAATCTGTGATACAACTAAGACAGTTCTACAAAATCGTTAAAATTGAGAATGGAAATGGGGAATGTGTCAAAGAGACAACAACCCGGCCAAAGAGCAGAAGATAGCAGAAGGCTTACTGATTGGGCATAACCAAAAGTATTTAGGGTTTTACACATTGTTAACTGATCTTTACTGTTTATTGTTAATCCAGTAATGGTAACGGAATGTAGCATTTAAAAATTATATTACCAAAGATATGCTAAACAAATTGCATCAACTGAGTCCTCAGAAAATATAAAGATACAAACAAAAAAATAACACATTGTCCAGAAAGACGGACTTGGTACATACACAAAATGGATTGAAATCCCAGTCTTACGTGTGCAGAAATCTCCTGAATAGTATTAGTATTCAAAAAGTGATTGTTGTAAATTCAGAAATTATTGTGTGCATTTATCATTTTGTTTATTATTGCGCATGCGATATTTGAAAAATGGACAAAAATGCAAGATTAATTATTGCAATTTCCAGAAAATCTCCAAACAGTTACATGCATCAGATATCAGAATGTGAGTTCTTATTATTGCAATATTCATCAAATAGCATTATTCACATCAATAAAAACTTCACGATAATTTCTGAATTTATAGTACATTTTTGTATTAGTATTGTTAGAGTGATGTTTTATCTTTCTTTTCTTTTTCAGAACATGGATATGGAGCCAGTCGGGAAAACCTGATATAAGTGTTATTGTGATCTAAAATGTGATAAATTTAAACCAGATTCCCCATTTCTTGAGATTATTTATAGTGATTGTGTAATAAAAGGACTAATAATGGGTGAATTCATAGCTCCGTGGAATCTCCTCCAACTGGCGTTGATCTCTGTTTATCCTATGTATATGTCTTTCTTTAGGATAGCTAATGGTAAGTTAGGACATAAACAATACAGTATGTTTAAGACATAACAATACATGTACAAAACATTTTAGACATAAACCATACAGTATGTTGAAGACATAAACAATACAGTTATTACAGTACATTTAAGACATAAACAATACAGTACATTTAGGACATAAACAATAAATGTACACTAGTACATTTAAGATATATACAATACAGTACCGTATGTTTAAGACATAAGCAATACATGTACAGTACATTTAAGACATAAATAATACAGTAAGTTTAAGACATAAACATAACAGTCAGTCACACGTCAGGGGTAATACTTTTGCAATACATTTTACTTTTACAATACATTTTTATTTACTTAAAGATGCAAGTAATATTTACTTGTATAAGTAAGAATGTAAGATTTTTATCTTATTTTCAAGGTTTGAATTTCAATTGTCTCCCCTTAAAATAATGTTCTTCAAAAATTTACTTTACAAGTAATTTTTTTTACAACCCCTTAAATTCTTAAGTTTTGGGAGGTTAAGTAGAAGTTAACAAAGTTCTATAGATCGCTGTACAGCTTTCAATAATGAGCAAAATCATACCACATAGTAAGCTATAAAAAGTTCCAAAATGACAAATGTAATGCAATTCAAACGAGAAAACTAATGGCCTGATTTATGTACAAAACAAAAAAACAGAAACAAATATGATCATGTGATGATGTACAGCAACAAACCTCAAGCACCTGACCACTGATTTACAGGCTCCTAACGTGATTTTTCAGGTATGTCAATGTTGGTTCTACATGTATATGTAGTCTTTGGTAGTCATCCTGGTAGTTTGTGTACCAGTTCTCTTTATTATACTGTATCATATCTTTTTCAGGTATGTCACTGTTGGCTCTATATGTAGACCTCCTGATAGTTTGTGTACCAGTTCTCTTTATACAAATGAAGTTGGGAGGATATCATCAGAAAGGAATTGTGGGATTGTTTTCTCAACATGTTCCTATTGCGAAAGGTAGTAGACTTTTATGAGAATTCTTTCAGAATATGAAAACAAAATATCTAATCTCATACCACATATTGTGTGATTTATGTTGGGCTTGTTGTGTTAGGGAGTTTAGCCTTAAACAATAATTTTTGACTAATTTGCTTGTCCATTTTATAATTTTTTCAAAGATCTTCTACTTTGAAACTACTGAACCAATTTCAATAAAATTTTGGGTGAATGATTCTTATATGTGCATCTAGTATAAAATTTGTGTTTTTATTTTTTAATCAGACAACAAACATGGCCACCATGGCTAAATACAATGTAGTGGGAAAAATGCATTAAATGTCTTATATCTTGAAAATCATAATAGATACAGAAAATATGACGGGGGGCCTCAGCATGCTCAGTGACAGATTGCTCGGAGTAGTTAACTACTTGTGCAGAAGAACTGGTGATTGCCCTGATCGGTCAAGTGAACATCTGAAATCGTTTGCGAAATTGTAGATGGTATTTTATTGAATCTATGCGAACAAGTTACAAAATTGTTGCTGACCTTGTTTCCATCCGTTTACTGACAAAATCAAGAACGAGGCTCGACCATATGCTTTCAATAAACACAATCTATAAATGCCAATGGTTTTCTTTCTAATCAGCTTTTAAAGTCGCCCAAGGCAACCATTTCAGTAGACTAAATTGAGGGCTGCAATAGTCATGATAGTGCTAAAATCAAAATCAAACAAGATACTCCTATTATCACATTGCATTGCATCAATTTATTTTTGGATAAAATTCCAGGTGAGCAATACAGACTCCTGAGGGCCTCTTGTATGTTATATCTCTAAAAAGATTATATCAAAATTGTACTCTTATAAAAGAATAGTTCAATTATCAGATAAGTCAAAATCATCTCTTCTGTCATCAACCCACCCTCATTGTTATTTACAAGATATGAGACAGACTTACATTTTTGTAATTGTATCTGTTGAATTCTTTATCATGTTTATGTCAAGTTCAATGGAATAGATAGGAACTTGAATATTAGATATTTATCTTCATCTACAGTGTTGACTTGTGTAAAGTTGTTAACCTATCTTGTAAGTGTACTGTACATTTGTTGTGACGTCCTTTGAGTGGTACACTTTAACTCATATTTACAGGTGCAGCTTAAACACTGATTTTGTAGGTTAACACGTTCATAAGATATGCTGTGAGCTTGGTGAATCCTCAATGTCTACCTCGTCTAGAGGAATTGTGTTCCAAGTTTTGTTTTTGTTTTTTACCTTTTTTATTATACCCCTACGATGATAGGGGGGGGGCCCTGAATATGTATGAAATATTTGCCGCTGGATGTTAAGCAACCAACAATCAATCAATCTTATATGGGGGGGGGGGGGTAAATTGAATTCACCTTGTCCATCTTTTGGTCTGTTCGACTGTTTGTCCAACAAATATTTCTGTCACACTCTTCTCAGTTACCATGGTTACCAATGAACAGAATGACTTTATGTTTTGGTCAACAGCTTGACAGTAATTTGTTTTAACATGTGAACACTTTTCAGATCTGTTCACTTCCTATTTGACGATAATTCAAATTTTCAATATGTTGATTGAACTTACAATTTTTGTCACGTTTTTCTGAAGTACTACTTTATATTTAGTCATCAACTTGACAGTGAATTACTAGGTATGATTAGCAGGACAATGAGTACATTCTTAAATAACACTTTTAATATTAACAAAAAAGTCTTTTAAACCTCATTATTAAGGGAATAAACCACTGTCTTAGGTTTGGAGGAGGGTTAGGCACCAGCAAATTAGTTTAACCCTGTCACATTCTATATGTGCATATCCCAAGTCAGGAGCCTGTAGTTCAGTGGTTGTCCTTGCTTCGTGTCTGTCATATTTGTTTTTCGTAAATTGTTTTGTTATAAATGAGGCCGTTAGAATTGAATTGTTTCATATTTTTCATGTCAGGGCCTTATTTAGCTGACTATATGGTATGTGTTTTCTCATTGTTGAAGGCCGTATGGTTGCCTATAATTGCTTACATCCACTTTATTTGATCTTTGGTGGATAGTTGTCTCATTGGCAATCATACCACATCTCTTTATTTTTATATTGATATATTTGCGGGAGGCCAAAATGGTATGGACAATTTGATTATTTCAAACAGTAAACATACATGTCAGATAATTAGGCTGTTGATTTGCCAAACATGCACCCTCTATTCCTAAAATCTTTCCCCTTAGGTGCCCTTTGTAATGCATTAAGGGATGGCTAGTTAAAATTGAGAGTATAGGGAAATAACAAGTCACTATTACTGAAATATGTAAAGCTTCAAGTTTTAATCACTTAATGTTTTGAAGTAATAAACTAAAAAAATAAAATTTCCACTTAAGAACCCCATAAATGTGCAAGTAGAAAATATTTGGAACAAAACAGGATGTGATCCTTATGTAATATATAAACATCAAGTTCTTATCACTTAAGGTTTAAGATATATATGAAAAGTAAAACAACAAAAATGATGGACTCCAAAGAAATTTCAAAATGGAAATAATTCCCTTATCAAATGGCAAAGTCAAAAGATAAGACACATCAAATGAATAGAAAACTTATATACATGTATATATATATATATATATAAAATGATCATGCTACCAAGAAATCTTTGTTTTCTGCAAAAGAATACAGAAGCATCATCATCTATAATACTTACTTAGAAAAATTGTCTTTGTTTGTCACTTCTCTTACCACCAAGTTAAATCATCTGTTTGATTGATTGATTGATTGTTAGAGTTTAACACCACTTTCAGCACTCTTGGTTATATATGGTAGTCAGTTTTTATCGGTGGATGAAGCCATAGTGCCCAGAGAGAATCACTACTTGGCTACCGTGGCCCCTCATCAGTATGAAATGTGTTCTGTAGCTAGCATGCACAGTTAACAATTATTTTGAAAAGAAATTAATTTGCTTTTGTACTTTCTGCCATCTGATTCCAATTTATGGTAATTCTGCAGTTTCTGTGTATAAAGCACATTGTCAGTAAAAATTTGACTTAAAACCAGCAACATACACTGTACATGTGTATTCAACACATTGAACTACATGTAACAACATACAATCAGGGTTACTACTTGTACAAGTTATCTTTATTTACTTGAAGAAGAAAATAATAATACACTTATAGAAGTTAATTTTGTTATGTCCGTTTTTTTCTCATAAGGTTTGAATAATCTCCCCTTAATTTTCTCAAAAATTTACTTGTATCAGTAATTTTTTTTTACAATCCCTAAAATTCTCAAGTTTTGAGATGTATAAACATGCCTTTAAAATTTTTTCTCTGGTTAGCTCATAATTTTTTATTCAGAGTTCAATGTTTCATCTCATTAATTCAACAAAGAAACTAATTGAGCAAAGATCTTAAGTAATTGCGCAAGGCTTTCAAAAATTGCCTCTTGGGGACTTGTAAATGAGCAGTGTTCTGAAGATAACAGACAAATGAGATTTTCATTGTCCATGAAATTACACTTAAATGATTAGTAAAGACATCTAAAAAGGACAGACAATTAAAAATTCTATTAGAGCAAGGAAGTCCTGTGAAATTCAAGAAAAGAAGATAGTATGACTTCTTTACTTGTATAAGTAAAAAAATCTGAATGTCTAAGGGACATAACCATGATAACTAAGCCAATTAAATAAACAAGTTAATAAAATACACTTGTACAAGTATCTTACAAATTTACTTATATAAGTATATTAATATTTACCTCTTCAAGTAAATGAAAATAACTTGTACAAGTAGTACCCCTCACTGACATACCTATATAGCTAAATGTAATGAGATTTGTCCAAAAAAAAAAAAAAAAATTTAAGCAACAATACACCACATTCTTAAATGAAAATAAAATGGGTCTAAAACTAACAAAATTGTTTTCAATACAGTATGAGTTTTGCTTAATGTTGAAGGCAATCAAATGACATCTTACTTTGAAATTTAATTGATTGATTGATTGATTGATTGTTGTTGTTAAATGCACTTTCAGCACTCTAGGTTATATCATTGAGGTGCCAGTTTAAATTAGAAAGGAGGTTGGAGTACCTCAAAAGAACCAATAACCTTGGCAGGAAAACTAGCCATAGTAGTCATTTAAGATAGGAATCTAACACACTTTGCCAATAATTTATATGCTATGTTGTATATTTCAGGTATAGGTGTGGCATTACTGATTGACCTCTTCTTGACCTGCGTTTACCTTGCTCCTTTGATCTGCCATGTTGGTTTATATGCTATGTTGTATATTTCAGGTATAGGTGTGGCATTACTGATTGACCTCTTCTTGACCTGAGTTTACCTAGCTCCTTTGATCTGCCATGTTGGTTTATTTGCTATGTTGTATATTTCAGGTATAGGTGTGGCATTACTGATTGACCTCTTTTTGACCTGCGTTTACCTTGCTCCTTTGATCTGCCATGTTGGTTTATATGCTATGTTGTATATTTCAGGTATAGGTGTGGCATTACTGATTGACCTCTTCTTGACCTGAGTTTACCTAGCTCCTTTGATCTGCCATGTTGGTTTATTTGCTATGTTGTATATTTCAGGTATAGGTGTGGCATTACTGATTGACCTCTTTTTGACCTGCGTTTACCTTGCTCCTTTGATCTGCCATGTTGGTTTATATGCTATGTTGTATATTTCAGGTATAGGTGTGGCATTACTGATTGACCTCTTCTTGACCTGTGTTTACCTAGCTCCTTTGATCTGCCATGTTGGTTTATATGCCATGTTGTCAATGGTGGAGAAACCCTATGTATGGGGTACCTGTAGCAATGATTGGAATACAAATCAGTGTTTTGATCATGAGACTACAACGTAAGTATCTTGTGAATTAGAGGTAGAAATAGTTTACCGACCCTCAAAACTGATGAATTCATTTTGAATACTGTGCACTCTGAAATTTTTTGGGTGTGTTGACAGAGTAAGCATATCCGTTTATGCATACACAACCCAACATGGAAATTAAGACTTTTAATTAAAAATGTCATAATAGGGAATAGCTCACATTCAGTGTATTTTTTATATCATACCACGAATCTGGTGTCTCAAGAAAGACTGAAAATATCTGCCACGAACTGAGACACAGCACATTTAAAGACTTGGACAACTTATACTAAAATGAAAGAAAAAAAAAATTATTGAACATATTTAAATTTCTAAATTTTTATGGAAGTCTTGAAAAAAACTATATATATAACAGTTATATGTGATATATCCACAAAGTATCAGTATCACAAAATCCTATTAGGTAAAACAAAATATATACAGGTCTTTATTGTTACAAGCTAACCATAATTTTTATTACTGACCATGAACAATTTTTGGAAAATAAAAAATTGGGTTATCTCTCTTGGTATGATGTTCCTATCTGTGTAAAAAAAAATGAATTGATTGAAAACTTCTTCCAAGATTTAGTTTCTTACTTTTAACCACTTTAAGTATTGCTAATTGGCATCATTGTTCCTGGAACAAAATTGAATATCATTGAAATGCTGACAGACAGACCTAATTTTATCATGGGGATGTTTATAAATGGGTTTATTTTGTCTTTTTATCAATTAGGTATTTTTGTTTTGTTTTATTGTTCATTTCATGTTGCACCTTGTGGGCCCCATTGATTTTAAATACAAATTGGAAACTATTCTTCTCTTCTGCAATCATGGTAATACACTAATTAGATACTGTAAATCAACATATTTTTCTGAATGTGTATCATCAGTGAGACAGCTATCTAATAATCCACCATAGACCAAATGACATGAATGTAGGCAACTAAAGGTCACCATACAGCCTTCATCAATGAACAAAATCCATTCTATATTGTACATGTTGAAAGCTTTAAAAGGGTCTGACATGACAAAATATGAAAGAATTTAAACAAGAAAACCAACGTATCTAGCTGAAATCACTACAATTTGTTTTTGTGATTTTCTAACATGTAACAGACCATCCAAGTAAGGGCTATTCCACAAACCAGAAATAAATGTATGAGAGGGGGGGGGGGGGGGGGGGGTGTTGGAAGGCACTTTTTATTTAACCCCACCATGCATAAAACTTTAGTTGATTATTACATATGATTGTAAAGGCTGTTTGTCTAATATAACCACCACCCATCAAATTTTAATAAAAGTGCCTTCCTGCACTCTCATTCAATTAATTCTGGAAAAGTCCTTAGATATATATATATATATATATATATTGATATCATTTTTATACTTTCAAAAGTCATAAACTAAACCGCTCTCGAAAATGATTAACATGTCAATATTTTTATAATTTAAGTAGTTTTATTGGTTTTATGATGAACGATCATGGATGAATTTTTATTTACAGTGAATCAGTCCAAACTTTTATAGGTAGACAAAATGACGCCCGTCTGCCTGAACAGGAATTCTTCGAGTAAGTATAGGTTTTCTTGATTGTTTAAGCTTTATCTAATGCAGATGATTGTTCCCTATTTTGTCTAAGTTTGTGGTAAAGGAATAAATGAAGATGTGGTCACATAAGGTGAAACACATGCATGTATTGTGTCCTATGGACACATATGTCCTGTAGACACATATTCCTGTTCATATTTTATTTAACAAGAATTGACAATACGAAAAAAAATAGGAAAAATTGAAGTGAAATTTTTAACTTTGTTGACATTCATATACAAGGATAATTAAAGATGACCAAAGTTTGAAACTTTTTCAACAATTATATTCACCTTATTTTTTTACTTGTCAAAGGTGCAAAAATAAATTGCTCTAGAAATTTGTTGCTTTACATAATATTTCGTTTATATTAGTATTACATTCAAACAGAATAGATTTAATATTTTTTTTCTATTTTCAGTTATAGTTATCTTCAGGAAGTTCCTTACATCTCTAACATAACAGAATTTCCAGTGTGGCATTTTTCAGAGGCATTCCAAAAGGTCAACTTCTCTCTGGCTCCAATAGCATTGCTTGTCACATGGTTGTTAGTGTTTCTATTTATAGCATTTGGACCTAGAGTGTGTGGATGGGTAAGATTTATTACTTTTGTTTGTAAAATAAAGAGAGCTTGATGTCTTTTGAATGTTATGTTCATAAACAAGAGGCGTAAGATATAAATGGGAAAATCAAAAACTGATAAGTTGAAGATAGACCTTCAAAATCATAGGTATACTAAATACCAAAAGCGATGAAAAGAAAAATAACAATCTACAAGGCATTACATGAATACTACAGACTGAACAACACAAACCATTATTTATCATGCTGTAGCCTGACTATCTGTTTGCACTTAAGTTGTTTTCATGGATTTTAGTTTCACAATTTCAAATGCCAAACCTGTTCATGAAATTTTATTGTCGCTCTATTAGTTGATTCCAATCCTCCTGAAATATGAATTTTTTAATATTTTTCTTGATTTTATCTAAATCTCGAAATTATTGATAATATCTCACTTTACAGTATTTCATTTAATTCAGTGTTTGTTGATTTCCTTGGTATCGAGGGAGAGCACGAATTTGAATGTTTAACAAAGTATACATTTTCTATAGGCCAGTAAACAAAGAGAGACAAAAGATACCAAAGGGACATTCAAACTCAATAAGTAGAGGAAAAAAATTGACAAACCCATGGCAAAAAACAAAAAAACGACCAACAGAGAAACAACATTATTCAAAACACAACATAGAAAACTAGAGACTGAGCAACTAGACACCATCAAAATCTGGGGTGACCCCAGGTGCTCTGGAAGGGTATGCATACCCTGCACCACATGTGGCATCCGTAAACAAACAAACTTTTGCCAACCCAAGAAATCATCAGGAAAATACAATTATACTCTATCCACCAAAAATTGGAACTCACAGGAAGGAAGTTGATTTGTTGATGTGGAAAATTAAAAAAAATCCTTTATAGTTGTGTTTTTTTATGTTTTCAGATTCTGTTTCTCCTTGGACCAGCAAGTTTAGCCTTGTTATTTGCTGTGATGGGTTATGGATATAAAAACTTAGATCCAAATAATACAGGAAAATTCTTGAAGCAGTTCTATAAGCTTGACTTCACAGGATTTGTTGATCCAAAGGCAAATCCTTCTGTTATAGATGTAAGTTACTATTTCTTCTAAGTATTAGCCTCCTTTAAGTAGGAGTACCTCCATATGGAGTTTATACCCTTTGTAATGTTATGAAATGCTTCTCACCTCTACTCTACACTGCAGTGAACCAGTATTTATACCAATATACTTCCCAACAAGCAGGACAAGGGAAATAATTCATTTTAAATTGTAATTTTAAATCAGATTCTGGCTTTAGGAAGTTTAATTCTAGAAAGTCCTATAGTTGAACCACAAATTCAAGAGTCCAACAAATAACTTTTTACCTATAGGTTTGTATGCAAGATTTGTCAAACTGCAAGTTCTTAATTCCTTCCATCACGTCAAAATTAGCATAAATTTCAAATTTTGACCAATTTCAATAAATAACACGCAAAATTTTGTGAATTTTTCATTAAGTTGAATTCATACATTTCTTTCAAATTGAAATTCAAAATTAAAACAAATAACAATTTAAGAATATTATTTATTCAAATTGTTAGGCATAACCTGAATTTCAATTTCCGCTAAGCACACGGCATTAAGGAGTAAGAGCAAAGACTGGTCGGCTCAGAGTCAGAATAGTGTGTCCTGGTAAGGTGACATGTCATCCTGTGAACTGTTACCTTGTGAACTAGCACGTTAAAAATCCGGCTCAGCGTGTCGGTCTAGTACAAAGCAGGGTTAATATTTCATATTACATTAATATCAATGAATATGTCATCATCATCAATTTCCTAACATTTTCATTCTTTTTGTTTCAGGACTGGATTCATGGATTTAATTTGTTGATGTTTGGTTTACCAGTCTGGACAGCTATACCAGTGTCAATAGGAAAATGGGTTGGAAAAGGTCGTATAAGTCGAAATGTGTAAGTGGTTTGAAAATAAGACCTTGAAATTTATAGCAGAAAATGTGCATTAAATGGGGGAGATAGATATATAATTAATGTCAGATAGCAGTTTTCTCTTGATATAGATGACTTTCGAGTTTTTACACTTTCTGGTACATTTCCTGTGACACAATGCTTATGTTATTATGTCACAGTAAGAACCAATTGTTTTACGTCGTCATTTACTCCATTTAACCTTGGGTCAACCAGGGTAAAAAGTAATATAGAAAAAACACCGAACTCCAAGGAAAATTCTAAACAGAAAATTTCTTATTAAATGGCAAAATCAGCTCAAACACATCAAACGAATGGAAAACAACTGCCATATTCCTGACTTGGTACAGGCATTTTCTTATGTAGAAAATGGTGGATTAACTCATTCATAAAAAAACAACTGGAGATTGGCGTATTTAATGCTTTTGACCAACTTTCTTTAGAAGATAATCCATTGTTTCCAACTTCTCAGTAATATATGTTTATGATTTAAAACAAATTATTGATGAATTCAAATAAGAGAAGATTCCTTGTTTGATATTATACTATTACTGTCTTTTGAGGAGGTAAATATGTGATTTACAAAATGATGAATTGTTCGAAATACTAAGGATTTTCTTATCCCAGGCATAGATTACCTTAGCCGTATTTGGCATAACCTTTTGGAATTTTGGGTCCTCAATGCTCTTCAACTTTGTACTTGTTTGGCTTTATAAATATTTTGATCTGAGCGTCACTGATGAGTCTTATGTAGACGAAACGCGTGCTGGCGTCATGGATTTTTCTAGCATTCCACAGGGTCCGGTATTCGGACCCATTCCCAACTGCAAAAACCCTACATTTTTCCCAATTTTGGGAGTTTTGATCACAAAATTCTGTTTCATCTTTATTAATCATGACAGAAATGTTTATTTTATTCAACCGCTTTATGCCAAAAATCGCCAACAAGTACTGTGTAAATCCAAGTTGAAACATAATTTGACAAAACAACATTTACAAACAATGGCTGCCATGAATAAACAGGAAGTGTGGGAAAATACTCAAACCAGATCAATTCCGGAAACGGATACGGCTATAATTCCGGGTTTGTCGATCAAATACAGTAAATAAAAATTAAAAGAACCAAGCATGTGACAGCTATCATATATAGCAACACTAAAATTGAAAACTAAAAGATATATAAAAAAGAAAATAGAAACAGGATATATTTTATACAGAACTCAAAATATTTGAGTTCACAAATTTTCATGTCAAAATCAAAAAAATGTAACAATCCTTTAAGAACTAATTTTTTTTTATACTCAGATAAATTTTAATGCCTTGTTGTTATATTTAAAAACCAAGAAGGTGTAGTCCTTTGTTTTCACCAACAAAAAAAAATTTGAATGAACTAAACACACTATAAAACTAACATCTGGTATGTTGGTTGTTTTTCCCAATTTCATTGAAAACCGTGTTAAAAAATTCCCAAAACTGGCCAGGGTCCTTTTTCCCAAAATACCCAGATAAAACCCTGGGCGTATTAAATTATAAGCCTGGTACCTTTGATAACTATTTATTGACTTGAAAAACTGATATTCACCAAGGACAAGGACGGAAGTGAATATCAGTTTTTTAAGTGAATTAAACCACATATTTACTGAAACAAAAGACAGTAATTGTTTAAATGGTCAACGAAGAAAAAATTTCTATGACTTGTATACTGACTTTTGTAAAACATGTAAAACCAGGAAATCAAATATCCACAAAAATACAACTTTTCCCTTATCCACAAAATTTGGTATCCACAAAAATGAATGAATCCACAGTGTCAATGTTTTGCTTCAAACTGAAATAGTAAAGAATATTTCTCAATTAAAAGGAGAAGGTGTAAAAAGAATATATTAGGGCCTAGATGGGTGGTCCTTTATATCTTTATTGTTTAAATTTTTGGACTACTTTTCTCTATTCTTTATCTTTCTGCCCATTATTCTCTATTCTTTATATGTTAACACCCCATTATTCTCTATTCTTTATATGTTAGCACCCCATTATTCTCTATGCTTTATATAACACCCCATTATTCTCTATTCTTTATATCTTAGCACCCCATTATTCTCTATGCTTTATATAACACCCCATTATTCTCTATTCTTTATATCTTAGCACCCCATTATATTCTCTATTCTTTATATATTAGCACCCCATTATTCTCTATTCTTTATATGTTAACACCCCATTATTCACTTTTCTTTATTTATTTAGCCCTTTAATCTGCACCTTTTGCCCATTATTCTCTTTTCTGTAAACCCCATCTAGACCCTCAGATATAGTATCACATCCATAACACAATCTCAGTGTGTGAAACCTTTTTTTCTTAGAACAGTCAGGGAACTTACTTAAATGAGTGATTTTCTAAATCACTGATTCAAGTATCATTATGTCCATAAAGGTTGGAAGTAAGAGTTGTCTTTCTTTAATAATCACCTATTTAAGTAGTACAAATTAATCACTAGACTAAGTGATTTAATTTTATTGTAGCTTTAAATAAAGAATACTAATGATCCAGGGACTAATTATGTTGCTAAATTTATCAGAACCAACATCTGTGTTGATAGGATGACCGGGTCATGTCAGGTGATGACCTTGTACTAAATCTAGGACAATGACATAAAAATCACTTGTTTAAGTATCATACCTCAACTTCCTTCCAAAAAATCACTTCTTTAAGTATCATTATTTTAATAACCCCCTCTAATTTCAACACCCCCGAACAGTGAAATTTTGATTGCGAACAGTAGAATTTTATTACATAATCTATAAGATGAAACCTTGAATTTTACAGGAAAAATACTCCCACTGCTGGGAAAAATCTGTTAAGAAAGTATCAGTTCGTTATGTCAAGCCATTTTTATAGCATTTTTTCAACTAAAATAGAATTTGCAGCTAAATGATTGCATCAAAGGCATAAACCTTGCTGCTTAAAAGAAGCAAAAAGTTAATGTTTTTCAATTTTACTAATGAAAAGATATTATCTAAACCTATGTGTTTAAAATTTTGGTAAAACTACAAAATCACAATTTGTGACAAAACTTCTAATTTGCTACTTAAATAAGTGATTTAAAAATCACTTATTTCAATAAGTCCCCTGACTGTAGAACTCGCCAATTTGGCGAGCAGCTTTTCATTTCAACTCGCCAAATTGAAATCCCACTTGCCATCTTGGCTAGTTTCCAAAATTTTGAAAGATTATTTTGGCGACCTTTTTCTTCCTTTCGTGTTATTTAAAAGCTGAATAAATAGGCTTCATATTTTTCCATGCTGTTCTATTAAATATCCATTTTTAGAATTAAGTTTTTGTTTACTGTTTATAGGAAATTTACTCTCGATTCAATCTTCAAAACATATTTTAAAATTACATTGACAACATGCATAAAGAAAGTGAAAGTGAAAGTAAATTTCTATGTCTATAAAACACATTTTGATTAGTTTAAGTTTTTCATACAACTGTCATATAGTCAATCAGAACACATGTAACATAATATGTATCATCTGGGTTCCTGTTTAAACAGAAGTCATGGATAACAGTATAGATTTTGCGGGAAAACGATCTTTTTGCTTGCATGATTCAAAGTCGCCGCAGAAGAGTCACTCACCACAAGGGCGAGTTCTATTGAATCTGGACTCGCCAAATACAATTCTTATTCGCATTTGGCGAGTTAGCAAACGGAGGTTTCACACACTGCAATCTATTAGAAAATGTTTTCAGAAAGCACCACATTCAAACAATATAGCATCATGTTGCCATGGGAAGAATGCTGATAAAATTTGTAAGAAACAGAAGTAAAAATTCATGTAGAAAATTTCTGGTTCAATATGAAATTATGTTTTATATTATAGAAATTGGCTGGTGGTTATTTTTGTGTATGCCTGTATAGTGCAAGTTCCGCAGTTGGCAATGGCGCCATATCTAGGAAACCTACTGGAGACAAAAAATGTAGCTATTACAGAGACAATTTTTAAAGGTATGACGGTATTTCTTGATTTACAACTTCTTAGAAATGTAGCTGTTCGTTGGCTGAGACTTTTGTTGCAATATGATTTATTATGATTTTTTTCAAAATCTATAAAAAAAAAATCACATGCACTACTCAAAGTTTGGTTTAAATGGTACCTGGAAACAGCTTGACTGAAAATTTTATGGGTAATCCAAAGGGTATCACAGCATTTCTGTGTTGACATGAATTATCATTGATATGGTCACAACTGTTTACAAAACTTTGAATTTTTTTAAATGCTCAGGATTTTCTACCAAAGGAATAGATTACTTTAGCTGTATTTGGCAAAACTTTGGAATTTTGGGTCCTCAATGCTCTTCAACTTGGTACTTTATTTTGGCTTTTTAACTTTTTTCATTGGAGCATCACTGATGAGTCTTTTGTAGATGAAATAAGTGTCTGTCTTACAAAATTTAAATCCTGGTATCTATGATGAGTTTATTTAAAGTTTTGACTAATACATAAATTCATTTGATTTACATTTTATGCATAATTTTCCATGTTAATTATTTTAAAGATGTCTGGTTATATAGAAATTGTGTAAAATGATATAAAGAGCCTCTCTCCTAGTAGGAATCCCTTCTAATATTTCCCAATGGACAAGTTTTTTGCAGTAAATTTATTTAAAAAAACATTGTTGGTCAACTGAGAATTGAACTAAAACATCAGATAAAAGATATGTGCTGCCCCCTATTGCAAAGTAATGGTCAACTGTATGTGTCAGAACATTCAGAACATCCTGGATCACCTGAGTTCACTCCCCTTTCTGAGCTTGGTTCCTGTTGCTCAATCTAGTTATCTGCAGGTTGTTGTTTTTACAAGATGGCTGACACTGTGGAACACAGTTTGATATAAGGCTCAATGAGGGAAACAGGAATAGATCAGAAAACATCTGGTGGTGCACAACCAATTCATAAACTCAGTGGAAAAAACACTGTCAATCATACTTATACTAATAAAACAATTCCTCTCCACACTCATCTGTGTCCACACTTGTTTTTCTTGCCAAAAAAGATTACTGGTATGGAAAAATGATTGAAATACTGATTTTCTGACAAAAATGTACATAAAAAAATACAATGAATTGTACATAACAAAAACATCCTGTGCATATCTGTATTGTTTGTAAAAAGGTGAAGGAATTGTTTAAAAATTGATTTTGTATCTATTTTTATTTTTATACAAACAGGCCTGGCGAGTAAGTCTGTTAACTTCACCCTATTATTTTGCATGCCATTCCTATTTCAGGTTGTAATTAACAGTTTTATGTTGACATTTTCAGTATGATAAATATCATTAAATTCAGTCTTTTTCATTGGTGTAGACATGGTCATGTGTCACAAAAAATCATGTACGTGTCTGCTGGTGATTTTAGAGTTGCATCTTTATTTGTCTTAAAATTCTTCAATATCTCCATTGCAACAAATAGAATGGTAACTTTTCAAGAAGATATCATCATGATAAATGAAATAGCCATGAATTTAAATACTCAACAAAGTACAAGTTTGCTAATGGCTTGTAAGCTGCCTTTAGCAAAACCATGAAAGGAAATATTCATGAAAGTACAATTTTTCCTCAATCCTAGAAAATTGGTACCAAAGAAAAAAAAGAAGAATCCACAGTTATCCCCTCTTTACAGTTTCTACAGAGAATTATCAAGAAATAGATTTCAATTCTTGAAGAAATTCATTGAAGGGACAAAGCTTAACTCGCTAGAATTTAAATTTTACCGAGAATCCTTGGGGAATATGAGATCATTGATGAGGAATATAACATGACATCATGAAGGCAGTAGGGATTTCAGAATTGAATAAAGAGATTAGTGGTATACTTCAATGAGACAGTTATATAAGAATTGGGAGATGTGGTATGATTGCCGGCGAGACAGCTATTCACCATAGTTCAAATGACTAGGATAAAATCAATTATAGTTCACTGTATGGCAATCAACAATGAGAAAAACCCATACTGTATAGTCAGCTATAAAAAAGGAATGTAGCTTAACATTTACCATACTGAAAATGAAAGTATACTACTAACTAGAGAATATGATTTATCATGACAGTTTACATATATGTAGATTGCAGAGAGTAGAATATTAAGTTTAAGTAGTTATTATGATTTTATTTTATCATTTGCTGATTCATATGTTTCTTGACACTCATTGTTTTTACCATGAAATCACAAATTGACCTTCAAACCTTCAAATTCAATACTGATATCTTACAAGTATGTAAGGCTTTTTCGTGGGCTTTCAGGTTCTAAGGAAAAAACACTGCTTTTAGGAACTCATAGGTGCTTGTATATGAATGTATTTAATACCTCCATGAAGAATTCTATAGTCAGTCTGTCTGTCTGTCCATTTGTTCGGCTTGTATAAGGTTAAAGCTTTTGGTCACAGTAGTTTACTATGAAGTTGTGGATACATCAACTTGAAATTTAGTACACATGTTCATTATGATGTGAATTTTATGCCAAATAAGGGTTTGATTCCTATTTCACGGCTCACTGAACATAAAAATATAATGCGAGCCATGATGTTCTATGGACAATGATTCTTATTTTACCTTGTTTGGTAAGAACAGTAACCATGGAGATAACCAGTTGATATCAGGATCAGGGAAAGGTCATACAATTGATCAATACAAGCTGTCAATCATTTCCCTCAGTTTTGGCATAATAAAAGTAATTCATTTGGTCTGCATTTTGTACCTCTAATGATATTCAATGGTGACTTTGGGAAGGGAACACCATGCCTTTATTATGCAGCTATTTATCTAACAGCTGCATCTGTAATGAACCCGTACTAAATTAAGTGATCTGTTACATAAGGGGGCTTGACTTTCGTAAAGGGACATAACTCAGAAAAAATTAAATCAAGTTAGTGTCAACCAATTTCAAAGCTTATTTGTTTGGTTGCTGTCTCTTTGGTGTATACCCCAACTCTCCTTGTACATGTTGTATTCATATAAATTCTGAAAAACACAGATTATTTTAATCACAAGAATGTTTAAAAACCATTTATAGAATTGAACAATTACAACCGCATTAATGATTTTAAGAGTGATCTTCCTTAAATTCTTTCAAAAATGCTGAAATCTTTCCTGAATTATTGAAAGGATTTTTGGGTAGATGTACATAGCATAAGCAGTCCAAAGAATTTTAAATTAATCACATCAAACATTTATCATAGCTTTGGTTGATTTGCAAGTTGCAGCACCTGCTTTTTATGTTGTAAATAAAGCATGATTGTTTCAGGTATTCAGTTTGTAGTTGGATTTGTTTTGATGGTTTTATTTGTTTTTGGTTTTGTTTTTGTGTGTTTTTGTTTTGGTTCAAATTCTTTACAAATTATATCTGTCATCCATTTTGAATCAGGATATCAGTCACAACCTATTATATATATGATTTAAAAAAGTAAAACAAAAATACCGAGCTCCAAGCTAAATTCAAAAAGGGGAAGTCCATAAAAACTGACAAATTCAATGTTGTCAACCAACAGAATGAGTGGAAAACAACTGTCAAATTCCTGACTTGGTACATGCATTTTCCAGAAAAAAAATAGTGGGTTAAATCAGCTTTAGTAGCTAGCTCAACCTCCTACTTGCATGACAGTTGCTTATGATTTTAATAAAGTAAAAATATGAAGAAGACATTAGAATTAAGTAGATTAGAAAAACAAAAGATATGGGGTATCCATCCATGACACAAAATATGTACATGCACAGCAAAAAACACACAAAAAGCAAAGGAACAACGCTTTTATTGCTGTTCTTCATCTCAAAGTCACAGTGAGGCCTCTAACACAGAGCAAAAAAACTCTCACCTCACTGCAAGTTTAAGACAGCCCCTAGCACCAGCTGGAGCAGAATTCTAAGCAAAAACAATTTGAATAGGCTTTGTAAGATGTAACACCACCAAATGGGCACGGTCAAAAAAGAACATACTGGAAAGTAGTACATATTTAAAACAAGATAGTTCCTACGCATAGGTGTAAATATAAAGCTATGTAGAATAAAGGTACACATAAGCTTACCTTGCTCAATGGTCTGTTGTGACCCTTTATCAAAAATGTTTGTCCGTTTTTTCGGTTATTTTTCTAAATTTTCTAAACCGTGTCTTACTCTTCTCGGTAATAAGAATGTATTGCCCCTTTGGTATTTCATGCTTTTTGATTTTTTTGCTCCATTTATACTATGTATTCATCTATTTAAAATATGTATTGCGGCAGTCTACCCATATAAATATAATAAACAATATGTTTATAATTTTTGAAGTTTATTCAGTTCAAACAAATAAAGATACTTAGAATTAAACGTTTTGTTAATACATGTAGCACGTTTATGGCACAGCCAGCTTAAGCTTGCAGCAAATCACTAATTGTTAGTTTGAAAGAGATTGCTCTGAGTTAAAAACAAAAATATAACATCTAAGTGTGAATATAGAAAAAAGGAAAAGGGAGTTCATATTTTTTATCAGAGATGTTACTTTAAATTTTAACCTTGGTTTAAAATTATAAAAAGATGTCTGGCACCAATATTTGAACACTACAAATTTAGGACTATCTATGTACCAAAAAAAAGGGAAAATGACTTTTGATAGAAAGGTCATTTATTCAAAGACAAGGTCACAGCAACCATAAAGAGACATACATAATTAAGTGGAAAGTCTCTTAAATTTTGCATCCATTTTTGATCAAGTTTTGTTTGTTAAAGTCTCTTAGGAAGATAAAAGCGTCTAGTGATCATGCATATGGTGATTGATGTCAAAATGTCTAAGGTTGTCACAACCACATCACTAAAACTCTAATTGTATTCAGTGAGAAGCTTTGTTTTCACAACAACATCACTAAAACTCTTATTGTATTCAGTGAGAAGCTTTGTTTTCACAACAACATCACTAAAACCTTTATTGTATTCAGTGAGAAGCTTTGTTTTCACAACAACATCACTAAAACTCTTATTGTATTCAGTGAGAAGCTTTGTTGACATAATCTGTTGTTTTGTTTCAGGTTTTAAGGTTGTATTTCACAGTATGCCTGCAGCGTTCGCTATTTTGAAGGTTCCACCTGTGTATGCCATGCTGTTCTATCTATCCATGTTTATTTCTGGTGTGATGTTTTTGGTAAGTAAAGATAATTTTTATGCCATGCCGGGATAGTAGAGTGGCATTATGTTTTTTATAGTCTGTAAAAAACCAGGTGCCATTACCAGAAAAAATCTAGTTTATAATTTGGAGTAGTTTAGGGCGCAGGTGACTCCAACTGATTGGTGGCAATAAGTTTGAGAATTGTTCAAACAATCTTTTTTTAAATCTCTACTCCAATCTGACTAGGATTGTCAGTTTTCCTATCGAAGGTTGGTGGTTTTCTCCGGGCACTCTGGCTTCCTCCCCCAATAAAACTGGCCGCCACGAAATAGCCCAAAAGCGGTGCCTAAAAGTGGCGTTAAAACACCAAAAATAAAAAAATCAAATCTTTTTTAAAATATAAAAAAAAATTGTCATAATTAAGGATAGTTTTAGTCATGGTTAAAGTAATAAAATTGAAAATGGAAATGGGGAATGTGTCAGAGAGACAACAACCCGACCAAAGAGCAGAAAACAGTCAAAGGCCACCAATGGGTCTTCAACACAGCGAGAAAATCCCGCACCAAGAGGCGGGCTTCAGCTGGCCCCTAAACAAAATTGTGTACTAGTTCAATGAAAATGGACGACACACTAAACTCCAAAACATATAAATGTTTATTTCATTGACTATCAGAACCATTAATTGCATTCGGATTGAGAATTTTTCAAAAAACATTAGGCAACATTGGGGAATTTTTTGCTGAAAAACAAGATTGAAATAAACATCTCGATGAAGCTACTATAGAGCAAAGTTTGGAACCTAAGGAGATGATGTCGCTCTCTTCGCCTGATGTGGTGACCCCTGAAATTATTGATATTTACAAACCTTTAATTGTTGTTTAATATTGCGATTATTTTTAGTGCAGAGGGATAGGAAAAAATTTTATCCTGATTTTTACGTAAAATAAATAATATCCTGGTACTAAATGAAAAATTAAGTTATTTACCATTTTCTCTTGAACTTAAAAAAATGTATATTTGTTAACAAGTAGTTTGAAGGAAAAAAACCTAAATTATGAATTTAGTGTAAATAGATATAAAAAGGGACATTCAAACTCATAGGTTGAAAATAAACTAACAACGCCAATGCAAAAAAGAAAAATACCAACAAACAAACAACAGTATACAAAACACAACAAAGAAAACAAACTAAAGACTGAGCAACACTAACCCCATCAAAACTGGGGGGTGATCTCAGGTGCTCCGGAAGGGTAAGCAGATCCTGCTCCACATTTCGCACCCGTCACCCTAATGGAAAAATTTCCTTCAAAAGATCACATATTAATAGATCAATTACAAGTTTTTTTCTATTGAAATGAGTTTCACCGTTCTCGGGTCAACCAGTGCAAATAAGGTCATTGAACAATCAGCTGTTATTGTGACATTAGCATTGTGACATTGGCATTGTGATATTGGCCTTGTGACATTGGCCTTGTGACATTGGCCTTGTGTCATTGGCCTTGTGTCATTGGCCTTGTGACATTGGCATTGTGTCATCGGCATCATGACATCGGCATTGTGACATCGGCATTGTGACATTGGCCTTGTGACATTGGCATTGTGACATTGGCAATATACAATTAACACAAACTTTAAAATGTACTATATGGCTCATTCTACAATTGAAACCCAGTACTAATATTAAAAAAATAAATTCTAAACTAAAGATTGGAATTCTTGTTTCATTTTAGTGCATTGCTGTGATGACAATAGTTGACAACATAGTGGACAGTTTAACAACAAGATATGCCAGATTTACTGATCGTAGATGTTGTACCACATTTGTTACCAGTTTCTTGTTAATTTTGCTCCTTATGGGATTTGGTGTTCTACATATGTCAAAGGTAAGAATAATTATCAGACCTATTTCTTGTGTCTGGCTGAAGAAAGTGAGCCATAATTAGTTAAGATAGACATAGGGGCATTATCTTTTTGGGTCTGTGCGTCCTTTCGTTCGTTCATCCGTCTGTCACGCTTCAGGTTAAAGTTTTTGGTCAAGGTAGTTTTTTTATAAAGTTGGAAGTCCAATCAACTTGAAACTTAGTACACATGTTCCCTATGATATGATCTCTCTAATTTTAATGCCAAATTAGAATTTTTACCCCAATTTAATTTTTTTTTCAAATAAAAAGAAAAGAAGGGGTTAGCAGGCAAAATTTTTTATGGCACTACATGGATAAAACTAGAGGATTCTGAATATCTGACAAAAAGTCAAGAACAAGATCATTGAACATCCTTTACTTGTTTTTAATTTTAATAGGGGATTGAGATGTTAGAAAATTGTCTCATCAAAGCAGTTTTTATAGACTGGGGAGTAAATAGTTTTGTTCAATTTTAAGATTCAAATTTGCATGATTATTTTTCAGCCAAATTTACACATGATGGACTATTTTTAGGTTGGAAGCCTTTTTATAGAAAGTGATTTTCTTTTTTTTAGGTTGGAAACTATTTTATAGAATGATTGTAGGGCTATTCCATTAAAATGTATGTGGGAGGGTAGGAAGGGACTTTCAAAATATCCCTACAACCAAGAACCATTTTTTAGATAATTTTGCATAATTGTAATAGATGCATATATACTGAAAAAAAGACCCATGACCCACATTTAATAATTAAACTTCCCTTCCTACCCTCCCACATACATTTTAATTGAATAGCCCTTATCTATTATTAGGTTGGAAACCATTTTGTAGAAAGTGATTTCATTTATTTTTAGATTGGAAACCATTTTATAGAAAGTGATTTCATTTTTTTTAGGTTGGAAACCATTTTATAGAAAGTGATTTTATCTATTTTTAGATTTGAAACCATTTTGTAGAAAGTGATTTCATCTATTTTTAGGTTGGAAACCATTTTGTAGAATGTGATTTTATCTATTTTGGGGTTGGGAAACCATTTTCTAGAGAGTGATTTTTTTATATTTTTAGGTTGGGATTTACCTGGTAGTTCTGATGGACCAGTCAGTTGTTAGATTGAGATTTATTATTGTAATACTCCTAGCTATTTCCTTAATACTTGTTTATGGTAAGTTTTATTATTGACACATCTCAGGGTTTTCACTCTTATTTTGATTGTAAACAATTAAAAATGAAGCACATTTAATCAATCATGCATGATCCTGCATTGCTACGGTTTCACAAAAATAGATACACACATTTAATTTTGAATTTGCAATATGTAGTTCTATCTAAAGTACACCTTGGTTGGATTTTGTCATTTTCTCCTGTCCACAGTGAGCAAAAACACAAGGTTGGCAAAAGCACAAGATATTCCCCCTATGCTGACTATTAGGTGTAATACCACCATTGATTTTCCCCTATTTGTCTTTGTTAAATTTGCACTTTTCAAAAAATTGTGCAGAATTTATCTTTGTTTCAAATAAAGAAATACTTGGCATGAGTAAAGTTTTATCCTGTCCAGTACTATAGAAAAAATTTCACATAACATTTCATTGCATATAAGAAAAATAACCATCACTGGAAGTTAACCAATCAAATTTTCCCCTTTTATTAACCTGTGTACAAGCTTTAGTAACCATGTAACCTCAAGTTTCCAAAATATTCTATAGAAACCCCAAATAAAATAATAATGGTGCTTTTAAATACTCAAGATATATGTTTATGACCCAGAAATGTTTTACTGTAGTGAAATGTAGGATTAATTACCTACAACTGTCAAATTCAAGGGAATATTTTTTTTGGACCTATTTTCGAATGCAACAGGATGTGACGTACTATGATTTGGTGGTATTACACCTTTATAAATTTGACATGCCATCTCTTTTCTTTCATGGTAAAAGAGAGGTGAAAGATACCAAATGGATATTCATACTCATAAGTTGAAGACAAACTGACAACATTAAATGTAAAACTGTAAATTCAGAAATAATTGCGAGGTTTTTATTATTGCGAATAATGAGACTTGGTGAGAATCGCAATAATAAGAACTTGCATTCTGATATCTTATACATAGATCTGTATGCTTATTTCTGAAATCGCAAAAATGAATCACACATTTATGTCCATTCTTCAAAAATGAAAAACCGAATATCGCAATGATTAATGTAGCAATAATTCCTGAATTTACAGTATAACATATGTTATATAGATAAGTGATGTTTGGTTTAAGCTTTTTTCACAAAACCCAAGAGTAAAGTTTGTGGATAAGAGTCAACAGTGGAGAGGTGGAAATTACATAATCCACACCTGTCCACCTGAGATGTAGTGTAGCTAATCAACAACTGTGCTATGGGTAGTCAAGGTCGTTAAACACCCCCTAGTAGTAGCTTTGTTGCTGATTTCTCTTAATAGTGCATTGATTTTGTCTTTTTAGTGAAGCAGACATTTTCCATTGGTGAAAGAGTGATCATCAGTATCTGGTGTGGACTGGCCTCCATTTCTGCAGCTGTAAGTTATCACTAGAATACCTAGCAAATTTGCGAAGTTTTAGGAAAAAAATATAATATGATTGGCAAATTATTATCCATTCCTTGGTTGCCACAACTAATCACCCGCTATAAAGCTAATAACCAAGGAATGGATAATGATATGACGGTCACGGTAGATTTTCGAAAACATCACTAATTTACTAGAAATAGGGGAGATTTACCATTTAGGTCTACTAGTGTATACAGACCTATATTTATACTATGGATTCGGAAATAGTCATGGGATACAAATGTGTTTTATGTATGTAAAAAGGTTTACCATGAATATTAGTGAGGCTCCAGTAGGTCACCCTGTAGGTCACAAGGTCAAATTTAATATCGCCTCAGGTCACAAGGTCACTTATAAGCAAATAAAACATTTACATTACTAATAAACTGTTTTGAACATTTTGGAATATCACAGTTTCTTTTAGATGTGACATCAGGTCTCAAGGTCGCCTTCCAAGCCCATTTAGGTCACAGGTCAGCTTTGACCATGTTGGAACCACATAAGTATTCAACAAAATAAAAGTTTTAGAATTTTTTAAGAATCGAAAATTGAAGAATTCAGGAATAATACAACTATTCTGAATGTATGAAAATGAAAGACTTTAAAACAGATGATTCCTATAGCTAGTCCCATGAAATATAACATTCTAAGGCCAAAAAAAAATATGCCTGTTTAGTGTTACATCATCCAAAAAAATATTTTTTGCAACATGATTTTGAGTTATGTGGTCCGTTTTTCCATGGTCCAAGTTGTTCATGGGCCAAATTAACCCGTATTTCTAATGATTGGATTATTTCCCTTGGTTTTTGTTGGAAATAAAATGGCAGCAAAATGATTTTATCATCACACAAGTTGCCAGTTTCCTTAAAACTGCTATCATAAGCATGATAGTGGGTACGCTTTTGAGACGAGTTCAGTTAATCTTTCCCTTTACAATGGAAATAAAATGGCTTAGGGTCAGTGATTTACGGATTTTAAATTAGGGACGGTCGGGTAACCTTAAACAGACATATATATTTTTTTTTGGCCTAAGGGATAAGAAGGATGTTAAATGTACCAAAAATATTTTTTCCCGACAGGTTTGGCCATAGACATTGCAATATTAAAACTCTGATAAATTTAATTGAGAATGGAAATTGGGAATGTGTCAAAGAAACAACAACCTAACTAAAGAGCAGAAAACAGCCCAAAGCCACCAATGAGTCTTCAATGCAGCAAGAAACTCACACACCAAGACACGAGCTTCAGCTGGGCCCTAAACAATAGTGTATACTAGTTCAGCGAAATGGACGCCAAACTAAACTCTGAAACATATAAATGAACTAAAATTAAAAAAACATACAAGACTAACAAAGGCTAGAGGATAGGAGCATATATGTAACAGGGTTAAACATGTTTTGTAAGATCTCAAAAGCAACCATTTGCAACATGTGGAATATCATATGCTTTTATCTAATAATCAATAAAGTGTATTTCTAGAGTACTATGCTGAGCATGGTCACTTTATTATATGTAAACAAGTTAAAAGTGCAATTTTATGGTAAGGATTTTGAATTATTTCTCACTGGGATTGGAGTACTTTTTACGCTAGACAAATCCGTGCTTTAAATTGTTGTGTTCTATTGTGATAGATATCATCACTTTCCTTTTTTAGGGCCTGTGGATATATAATTTCCAGCAAACCATCAACCAAAAAGTCAGCTACAACAATTACTATCTAACAGACGTATGGGTACTGATTAGTTGGATAATCTCAGCTATTCCTTATATAGCCATCCCAGCAGCTGTGTTACATAGCTGTATGTCGTATGACGGCTCCTGTAATGAGGTATGTATTTTTGCTTGCTGTTCGGTGTGAGCATCTGTGTTACATAGCTGTGTGTCGTATGACGGCTCCTGTAATGAGGTAATTTTGATGATCTCAGCTATTCCTTATATAACCATCCCAGCAGCTGTGTTATATAGCTGTATGTCGTATGATGGCTCCTGTAATGAGGTATGTATTTCTTTTCATTTTATGAGTTTTGATGGACAGGAATATTGGTATTCAACTCGACACTATTGGTAATAAAGAATAAATTTTTGCCCCTTTCATTTTTATCTTATGAATAAAAGGAGATGTGAATAGGACCACATCCTAATCACAAAAACAACTACAGATATAACGGAGCTCTTAAACAATAAACAGGTGTCTATTCAATATGTTAAGCTCTTCATCATCAAGAGTTTTTGAAATTGTTAAAATAGTAAACTTATTCAAGCCTTTCAATGTTATGTTAATTTTATTGATAAATGAACAGGTAACTATAATCTGGACACTTTAGTACAGAAATGTCACTTGTGATGTCACTATGGTGTCATAAACATGTTGAAATTTACATATATTTGCCAAAAAATGGCCAGGGTTTAAAAATGTTTGTAACAGCTCACTAGCCAAGGACTTATAGGTAGCAGGATTTACTAGTCCTGTTGATAGAACTACTAGCCCAGCAAATCAAACCTGATAGCCCGAACTCCCAACGAATGTTTGAGTCAGCTCAATATTTTCATCTGATTCAAATTTCGATCCTGTAAGACTTTCATAGTCACAAAGGCAATCATTGTTAAAATTTTGGCATCATCACAATGCCTGAATAATTTACATTAAAACGATACTAAACTTCAGAAGACTTTTGATATAATTTTGATGTTCTGACGTAAACTGTTAAATTGACAGTCCACATACGAAATGTTAAAAAACTAGTGAAATAAAATATGCCTTAAACTCTTAATATTTAAAATGCAATATCACGCTGTCAGAACTGTACTTCCTTTTTTCAAAAAAACATTTTTCCTATTACCGGATGTTGACTTGTCAATAATAAAACACAGACCAAAGATGGACTCAAAACTCCGTGTGCGCTGTTGAAGTTGTCTATTCAGTTTATGTAGTTCTTTCCACATAATTTCTTCTTGAAAATACTTGAAATGAACGTTGAGATAAAGGTATCTATGATAATGCTTGCATTTTTGTAGAATACGGATTCAAAATTAAATCTCTGACCTGCACATGCTCACACGTGTATCAGTTTCAACAACGTGGTTCTGACGAATTTTCATTTAACTTTTTTTTTTTAATTAATCATTAACTTAGAATTTTAACATGTATTTCTGAAAGGCTAATTAAATCATTCTTACTAAGTAACAGTTCACATCAATCAATGCATTGTACAATACGCTAAGTACGAAGAAATCGATAATGATAGTACAGGAATAATTGCAATCAATACACGATACCGGTCCACCCAGAGTCATTTGTTCTATTTTTAAAACATACAAAATCAGTTCAAATTCTTGGAAACCCGGAAACCCGGATGACGTAATTGAATTTGATTGGCTAAGTTAGAATAGAGATGAAGGGATTTTCCAGTTTGTGTTTTGGAAACACCAAGAATTTTTTGTTACTAGTCTGTCGGGCATATTTGGTTACAAGTTTTGATTACCTGAGGTGTAAATGCTTTAGTCCCGGGCTTCGGGCTAGTGGATTTCTTAACCCCTGATGGTGATGTCACTCATAGTTTTTGGTCAAAATATATATGAGCAACAGATTTACTGAAAAAGATATTTCATAATGGCAAAACAGCTAAAAAAAAGCTCCATGTGAAAAATATACGAGATATGACTCACAACTAACCACTCTTTTATACCTAATGATTGCAAAAAATGAAAACAACAAGTAATATATTTCATACGTCCAAAGCACTTTTCTGGATTTACCTTCATCAGGAACACTCAAAAGCCAAATATTTGAAAGCCAAGGATGTATAAGAACTGAAACAGTTGAAGAGCTATATAAACAAAAAGGACCTTAACAAATAGCCAAATTCATCTAAGGCCAACTTTGCCTGAGGGAGTTGTAACCTTAGTTTCTTTATATTTTCAAAATTTATAAACGGACAATTTCAGAAAAATTTGTTATAAATCATGTCTGTACCGATTTACTGACTACTGAGCTGATGATTACCTTGGGGACTGATTTGCCAAAATACAAGTGCAGGATATTTAGATAAGTTTTGATATTATTTTCATTGCAGAAAGTACATTACTTGATGTGTGGTTCTGAAGAAGATGACCGACAGCAGGACTATGATGGGTACTACCCTGCCCCGGAGCCAACAGCCCCACCCTACACCTACATGGATAACAATGAATACCTCTACCCCATGAATAATCTGTCTAAAAACTATGATTCAGAAATGGAACCACTCAATACGAACCTTAGACATACTAATATGTAAATGTATATGTAGTATTAAATTTGAATTGATTTGAAAATTCTTTTGTTAATGATTTAAGGGAATGTCCGATCTGATTCAAATACAGGGTTTGTGTCCATGCTTTGCTCACAAGGATCTGACAACACTCTGTTCTTATGATTACATAAGCCAATGAAATTTCTGCCTTCAAAATTTGGAAAGTGTTTATCATTAGGAACAAACCTGAAGATCCTAAAAGTCTTTGAATCAGAAGGTGAAATGGAGAGTTGTCACATTCTTGTAAGCTAAGTGTGGACACAGAAAAAAGGCAAACAAAAAGTACATTTTTTAGGAAACAAACATTGAGATTAAGCAATTCATTTTTATTGAATGAACAATTTTTTTTTGATTGTTGTAAAGAAAATAGAAATGCAATTGTTTAAAAGAAAATGAATGAAATTATTCTCGAATTGATTAAATAGGGAATTGTGTTTTTTGTTGAGATAAATAATGCACAGTTTATTTAAGGCATAACCTGAGCTGATCGGATAGAAATCAACCTAATGCAAGTGAACATATACATATACATGTATAAGACTTTAATTTATTTTGGAACATTCAAATACGAAATGAAGATGAGTATTAGTCTATTTTGTAGGGTTCTTATAACGACTCAATTTTCAAACAGTTACAGACTTTGCATAGCGATTTTTTCAACCCGAAATAGGATAACAGATGTATTGATATTCATTTGCATAAGGTTGATTTCTATGCGACACAGCTCATATGATTGTCTCTTATGATATGTTATTGTACATCTTTGCATAATAATACGATATGCTGAAATTGTCTTATTTCCCCAAGATTTATTATATTAATTTTTAATACAAGTACATTGTATATTCATCACCACGCTAAACTATCAAAAACATTTATGGCAGCATTCTTCGATACTCCATTCCTGCTTATAATCACTGTTAACTGCTTAAGATAGTTTGCAAAACATATAAATCGCTGCATATACTGTTAATTAATAATGCTTAAAAAAATCTTAACAACGATGGTTTCTAGATGTTATCCATTATACAGTTAAAGGTTTATATTTATCAATCATATTGTGGATTCATTTATTTTCATGGATATCAATTTTTTGTGGATTGAGGAAATTTGTGTTTTTGTGGATATTTGATTTTATAGTTTATCCAAAGTCTCCATACTATAGAAAATATGTACTTCGTTGAATTTTAAATTGTGTAAACCTATACACTATAAACTATGAAAATTGGTATCTCACAAGTAATAATTTAATTTTGGATGTAACGCGTCTTCTGATTGGCTGACGTTGTTTTGTTTATCAGCTCATAGACATAATTTTGTCATGTGACCGTGACGTCATCAACATTTTTTCATGGTTTTCTCCGGTTTAAAATGGAATTTAGAATTAAATTATAAGAAATGACTGTAATATTTTTTCTGTCTATTCAAAAAAACATAAAAAATGTGGTGCACACTTAAAAATAACCCGCTACGCGGGTTATTCAGTGTGCACCACATTTTTGATGTTATTTCTTCATAGACAGAAAAAATATTACATTCATTCCTTTAATATAAAATGAACTGTACATCTTGAGGTCAAGGAACAGTAGATGGGCTATGTCTCAGATTTTGGTAAAATTTGGCATACAACTTTGGCTCATTAAACATTAACTGAAAATTGAAAAAAGTAATGCATTTATCTCTTTAAGTATCTGAAATGTTGCTGATTGAATTGTATTGAAAGCACATAAACGTTCTTAAATTTGTCATAAAATTATTAAATCTCCAACTTCAAATTCATAAGATTTTTTTTTTTTAAAAACTATATGTTGTTGATACTTACATTCTCGTTTTAATGATATAAAATAATAATAGGGTTAAGAGTGAAGAAACAAATTAATAATAGGGTTAAGAGTGAAGAAACAAAATAATAATATGGTTAAGAGTGAAGAAACAAATTAATAATAGGGTTAAGAGTGAAGAAACTCATCATAGATGCCAGAATTATATTTGGTCAAGGACAAATTGTCCAAAGAATTTCTCTCATTATGTCTACTATGTAAGCTTGTGCTGTGTATTTGCTGCTTTGTTTGCAGTACGCCCCATTATGAACATTTTTCAAAGGTTATGGTAGCTTATTTAAACAGTTGCATAATGAATATTGTTTTTTTAATTCTCATTACAATGGATGATATTTTGATCCAGTGTGGATTTAGGAAAAATTGTATTTTTCTTGGATATTTGATTTTGTGGTTTTGCCAAAGTCATCATGCAAGCCCATATAATTTTTTTTATTCGTTCAACATTGAAAATCATGGTTTACTTATATCCACAAAAATTGGTACCCAACGAATAATAATGAACCCACATTTGAACAAGTTGCATATTCATTGTTGCCACAAATAATTGTTCCAAAGTTATGCCCCTTGAGTTATCTCAAAGTGGGAAAATTGTTTGCAGATAAATTCTTTTTCTAAAAGAACCTTTTTACTTTACCACATAACAACAGTGAAATACTGGTCAAGCTTTATTTTTGCTGTGGCCACAATTACTGTTATTAAAATAATGAAAAAGTTTCTTGATGTTAAGTTCACTGTGTAGTTCACATTTAAGACTTTTAAACTTTGTTACCTTACCAAGTTTGGTAATTTCCAGCAACTTCTGTAGCAGACTTATGTCCCTTGAATTAACTTAAAATGGTGAAATTGATGGTTTCTAGATTGAAACATTAATTTCAGATGAGCTTGAATTGTAAAGGTTGTATTTTTTTTATCTCTTTGTCATTGTGCTGTTAGAGAAGGATCTGTTGTATATAGATAAAGAAGAAGTGTGTTCCTACCACAAACAGCTTGAAGGACATTTACATTATTCTAGTCAGCTTTTGTTAGCTATGGTGTAATAATTAGTTTTAAAACATATTATGGATATTTACAGATTTAGCTGACAAATGTATTAAATTCTTGAAATTCACTGAACAATTTTTTTAAAAATAAGAGTTGTTGTAAAAGCAGTGATGCCTTGTTTACCTCTATACTATTAAGAGTTCAGGATCTCTTTTCTCAAAGAATATTGTGACAAATATTGATTGTAAGTTATACTCATATGTTCATGATGTTCAACAGGGAATAAGCTTTACAGGGGCCCAGTAGCCAATGCTACTAAAAATTTGTATGAGCCCTTACTTTTTACAGAATATTCCCATATGGTCAATACAAAATTTTCACATTTGGTCAGTTGGGTCCCTGGATTTTAAAGCTTATTCCTGGTTCAAGCTTCTTTTTTTTCTGAAAAGATTTTTTCTGAAATGAGTCCCAGGTACATGTATTTATATTACAAAAAGTCTTAACTGTAAGAATTCAAAATAAATTTGACATATATCGACACAATTAATTTTAAAGGCCCACCGATATCTTAACAGTTTTATTAAACATATATGTCTTTGTTAGTTTTTACATATTTAATTAATTATGTATTTGTAGTTTGAAGATAAGATATGTATTGTCATTTCATCATTTTATTATTATGAATAATCATTGTTTTTATCTATCACATTTGTACAAAATCATATAGTCATTAAAGATGCAGAAGTATATACTCATAAATTCATTTCATTTAACTTATCTTACTGTACTTGCACAGTTCATAAGAAATGTGCTTAATACCTGCAGTTATGCAAACAGTTGAAAATGTAAATAGAGTTTGAAATCAGCCATGGAAATCAAGACTTTAAAAAAATGCAAAGTGGTAATTTTTGCTAATTATCCATTTGTCTGAATTTGATCTTTAAGGATGTTAGCTGTTCTGTTTCAGTATACCAAGCTTTCTAAAAGACTTATAAATTGATAATGTATACAAAAAAACAATACTAAAAAAGCAGAAAAAAATGAAAAGGTCTGTGTCCATGTTTTTATACGACCGCAAAAAATTTTTGCGGTCGTATATTGGTATGACGTTGGCGTCGTCGTCTGGCGTCGTCCGGCGTCGTCCGAAGACACATTGGTTTTCGCACTCTAACTTTAGTTTAAGTGAATGGATCTCTATGAAATTTTACCATAAGGTTTAATACCATAAAAGGAAGGTTGGGATTGATTTTGGGGGTTATGGTACCAACAGTTAAGGAATTAGGGGCCAAAAAGGGGCCAAAAATAAGCATTTTTGTAACTTCCAGACATAACTTGTGTTTTAGTGTATGGATCTCTCTGACATTGTACCACAAGGTTCCATATCACACAGGGAATGCTGGGATTGATTTTGGGGGTAATTGCCTCAAAATATTAGGAATTAGGGGCCAAAAAAGGGGCAAAAACAAGCATTTTTCTAGTTTCATGACAATAACTTGTGTGTAAGTGTATGGATCTTTCTGAAATTGTACTACAAGGTTCCATATCACAAAGGGAAAGCTGGAATTGAGTTTGGGGGTAATTGCCCGAAACGTTTAGGATTTAGGGGCAAAAAAGGGGCCAAAAATAAGCATTTTTCTAGTTTCCAGACAATAACTTGTGTTCAAGTGTATGGATCTCTCTGAAATTGTACTGCAAGGTACCATACCACAAAGGGAAGGCTGGGATTGAGTTTGGGGGTGATGAATCATAAGGGGGTTCAAAAAATTTGGGGGGGGATTTTTTTTTTTTTCCTTTTTTTTCTTTTTTTCTTTTTTTTTTCTTTTAAAATTTTCCATTTTAAGTTGGTTATTTCTGTTTTATATTTAAAAGCAAATGATATGATAGGAGATACACACCAAACAGGATGTGTAAATTATTATATAATAAGTATTGTGCAATAGCAAGAAATTTTCAATTGCACAGTATTGCACAATAGCAAGAAATCTTCAATTGCACAGTATTGTGCAATAGCAAGAAATATCCAATAGCACAATATAGCGCAATAGCAAGAAATTGTCAATTGTACAGTATTGCGCAATAGCAAGAAATATTCAATTGCACAGTATTGTGCAAAAGAAGATACTTCGTATAAATTGCTTATTTCTTGACCAATTTCAATGGGGTTTATTCTTGAATTCTTGGGGTTCTTTAATATGCTGATTCTAACCATGTATTAAGTTTTTGGATTTTGGGCCCCGTTTATAAATTGGTCCACATTGAGGTCCAAAGGGTCCAAAACTAAACTTTGTTTGATTTCATCAAAAATTGAATTATTGGGGTTCTTTGATATGCCGAATCTAACCGTGTATTTAGATTCTTAATTTTTGATTCCGTTTTCAAATTGGTCTACATTAAGGTCCAAAGGGTCCAAAATTAAACTTAGTTTGATTTTAACAAAAATTGAATTCTTAGGGTTCTTTGATATGCTGAATCTAAACATGTATTTAGATTTTTGATTATGGGCCCAGTTTTCAAGTTGGTCCAAATCGGGGTCCAAAATTAAACTTTGTTTGATTTCAACAAAAATTGATAATATGGGGTTCTTTGATATGCTGAATCTAACCATGTATTTAGATTTTGGATTTTTGGGCCCCATTATCAACTTTGTCCACATTGAGGTCAAAAGGGTCCAAAATTAAACTTTGTTTGATTTCATCAAAAATTGAATTCTTGGGGTTCTTTGATATGCTGAATCTAACCATGTATTTAGATTTTGGATATTGGACCATAATAGGTGAATGTCCAATTTAAAATTTTTAAGTTCTTAGGCCACATTCATTCTGTGTCAGAAACCTATACTGTGTCAAATATTTAATCACAATCCAAATTCAGAGCTGTATCAAGCTTGAATGTTGTGTCCATACTTGCCCCAACTGTTCAGGGTTCGACCTCTGCGGTCGTATCAAGCTGCGCCCTGCGGAGCATTTTATTGAGATATAAGCAGATAATAATTTGACAGGAAATAATTTTCTACCTTTTTCATATATTTATTATTCGCCCCTTTTCCTTTCACAAACTATCATGACTGAAAAATAATAAGGATTTTATAAGATTTAAAACACAAAATTGTTTTTTAACTTACATGTATATATAATCAAATTATGAAAAGATTATCAAATGTAGAGGTTAGGGGGCAACATTTTTAACGGCACTACATTGATTAACTAGAGGATAACAAATATCTGACAAAAACGAAACCATCAAACATCCTAAAGGAAGACTAGATAGAAAGATGAGAAAAAGCCTAATATAAAACCTAAAACCTTGGTATTTTTCAGAAATCGCAAATCTAACCTCCAAAGAAAATAAACCCTTTTACATTATTTTGGGGCAAGTTTTGTACATTGATTCTGAAATTAAAATTTTAATACTTCTGGCATGTTATTGGCTCACCTCAATAAAGTTTTGGAGGCAAATCTTTGATGTGCTTTTTCCAGTACGGCTGCATCAGCAGTTGTTAAAGTTGGTGATTAGGTCAGTTTAATGGGAACCAATAATGGTTTAGAGGAATATATTTGGTAGGCAGTTGTATAACCATTGGGAGATTATTTGGTCCAGCCCTCCAAGTCATAGTCCATTTGACTTTCAGAATTTTGTATACTTTAGTAAACAATACAAGTTTTAAAAAATTAAGGGCTCTCTTGACAACAGATTAATTTCATTATAAGGCACATTTCTTGCAGACAGTTGCAGTTCTTCATTGAATAATGTTTTTCTTTCCTTATATTGTTATGTAAATATTTTATCATGATGCAAATGGATTTTCAATTACCTAACCGATTGATATTTTAATATTTTATGATAGTTGTCAATTGTTTGATTATTAACATCATTGGTAAATAAAATCTATTATTATCAAGAGTGTATTGCATAGTTTTTGTCTCGCCTTGACGGAGTCAAAAAGCGAGACATAGGTATGCTGTTGTCGGCGTCTGCGATGGCGAAGGCGGCGGCGGCGTCAACAATGTATTAGTTTGTGATTAGGTCTAGTTCATGGTGAACTACTAGTGGTAGGTCAATGATATTTGGTATGCAGTTGTATTAGCATTGGCACATCTTATTACCATGGAGATTATTTGGCCCTGCCCCCTCAGTCAAGGTCTATTGACTTTGAAACTTTTCATAGTTTACATGTATTAGTTTGTGATTAGGTCAGTTCATGGGGAACCACTAGTGGTAGGTCAATGATATTTGGTATGCAGTTTTATAAGCATTGGCATATCTCATTTCCATGGAGATTATTTGGCTCCGCCCCCTTAGTCATGGTCTATAGACTTTGAAAATTTTGCTTAGTTAACATGAATTAGTTTGTGATTAGGTCAGTTCAAGGGGAACCATTAGTGGTAGGCCAATGTTAATTGGTGTTCAGTTGTATAGGCATTACTACATCTCATTTCCATGGAGAATATTTGGCCCCACCCCCTCAGTCACGGTCTATTGACTTTGTAACTTTTGCTTAGTTTACATGTATTAGTTTGTCAGTTTAAGATGAACTGCTAATGTTAAGTCAATGATATATGGTATGCAAATGTATTGGCATTTGCAAGTATCGTTTCCATGGAGATTATATAGCCCCACCCCTGATCATTGTTCATTGACTGAAACTTTTACATAGTTTAAAAGTAAATGTTTGTGTTTAGGTTTGTTTAAAGGGAACGACTTATGATAAGTCAATGGTATTTGGTATGCAGTTGTATTAGCATTGGCACATCTCATTCCATGGAGATTGTTTAGCCATGTACCTTCAGTCATGGTTCATCGACTTTGAATATTTGCATAACTTACATGTTAAAGTATTGCTATTTTAATTTCAACATTTGCATTATCAAAATTACAAAAAGGCGAGACATATCTCTGTGTTAACAGTTTATCCTTTATCGGGAAACGGTCATATGACTCATTCTGAAGGGGTAATGACAGAAATAGTATTTGAGATTCAGGCCATCGTTTCACAAAGAATCGTACGATTTACGTTTACGATTAAACTTACGTTAAGCGTAAGATTTTACCTACGAGTGTTTCACAAAGGTGATTGTAAACGTAACGTAAACGTAACGTAAACTTACGATTACAATGAAAAATGGGTGCTTTCTTTCACAGCCGCGGTTATGTCTAAAAAAAGAATCGTTCTTTCAAAACCAGGAAGAAAATTCATATCCTCGTAGTTTGAAATGGTTTGTTTGTATGGTAAATAGGTTTTGTGAGGTTAACATGGTAAGTATCCCGTCTAGTTTAAAGATGTTTTTTTGCTTTGGTATTATTAGAAAAAAATTGGCTGGTGGTGGTTTTTTTTCCAAGCCGAGCGTCTGTTTTTGCTGTTGTTGAAGAATGATGAAGTCATAAAAAAAAATCCAGACAATTGCATTAGGACTTCGACATTTCTTGATTCCAAATCAATATGAATTTCTAAATGGTTAACACGAAATTATACGTATCTTCAAATGTTAATAATAAATGAACTGGTATAAAATTCGTTAAGTCTTGTGATTCTGATGCATGTCAAGGCTTTTTTAAAAGAGGAACCTACTGACAAGACAACATTAAGACTTGTACATGTAAAAAGTATCTGCATATTTTCATTTCATCTATTATAATGCTATGCATTTGCTACTGTGTCATCCAAAAATATGGTCATCAGAAAAAAAAAATAAAGCGTTTGGTAAAGCATTTTTTATTTATTTTTATTATTTCCTATATTGTTCTATAAAAGAAACGTTGTTCCTAAATAATTCTGTAAAAAATATACATTAAAAAGTAAACGTTTTTTGAAACAGTAACAACACATTATTTACTAAAAGGATCTATTATATGTTCCTATCTTGAACTCTGAGTTAACACAAGATATAGGTTAGGCCTTATTATTGAAACCTCCAATGACCATGGGGTCGATAAACTTTTATAACGGATAGTTAATTCAACTTGAACATTTCAATTACTCATTCATTGTCACATATGATAGTAACTCCAAAATTTTGATTTATTAACCTAAAAAGTAAAAATTTGGAGGACATTAGAGGTATAAATGGACCAATAGGGATCTTATATGAAACAATGAGGAACCTTAGTGGTTTTTATCATCTTAGAAACCTCTCTGCTTTGGATTATTTTAAAACGGAAGCAGTTGAGATGGTGAAAAGTTTTTACATTAAAAAATTCAATCTTCCATGCAAAAAATTAATGCGCTTCAAAAATCAGATGAAAATTAAAATCAAGCAGAACTAGACACTTATGAAGCTCTTAAAATACAAGGTATAGGAGATGAGTCTGATTTGTTTGACTCTATAACTGTTAAGAGAGGGCTTACATAGGCTATGCCTGTTGCCCTATCCAATTCAATTTATTTGAATAAAATACTGTTTAAACTAAATAACTGTTAAGCTTTTAGGTCCTGAGGGTTATGTTAATGTGTGATCAGTCAGGGGCGGATCCAGCCATTTATAAAAAAGTGTGTAGGGGGTCCTAACCCAGACTGAAGGGGGGTTCCAACTATATTTCCTCATTCAAATGCATTGATCGTCACAAAAAGGGGGTTCTAACCCCCAGAACCCTCCCCTAGATCCAGCACTGTCAGTGAACTTGATTTTCTGAGTTACATATACAGAACATAAATTTGTTAAATGGTGGTAAAAGATATTTTCATTTGTAATGCCCTTCTTTACTCAAATATATTTTGAACCCCCTTGAAATATGTAAACTACTTATTTATGTGCCAAACAAATGATCCCCTCACTTTAAATTTATAAAAAAATTGAATCCCCCTTTTCCACTTTCAGAAAAACTTGATCCCCCCTACATTTTGACCAGCCCCCCCTCCCAGGTAAAAAATGATAAGTCCCTAAATGTCTACGTATTTTTTATTAATTTTTTTTTGTATCTGGGGGTTGTAGTTTTCCAAGATTTTTTTTCATTCGAGTCATGTTAGTTTATTTTTTTTAATTTGTGTATCTATAAAGGGCGAATCTTAACTCCCACTGATGCACACCCGTTTGCCTTAATTACTTTACGATTGTGCTATGGCCGTAATTCAATTTAACTATAAAAAGAGATATCAAGAATATAAAAGGGTCGTCGCGGGGTTTCCTTCTCATCTGTTTTATTTTTATTTTTTCTATATTCTTTTTAAATTTTGCACATTATTCTCAATTCTGTACATTATTATCTGTCCTTGTTATTTTGGCCTATTTTTCTCGATTCTTTATTTTCTTAATCCATTTCCTGTAATGTTAGCCCCTTATATTCTCTATTCTATAAACTCCAATCAGACCCTCTATAACTTTTTTAAATTACAGAACCAGTCAGCAGTTTGTTGCTTATCATTAATGTGAAATAAATAAATTGATGCATTAACAAGAAATGGTGCATGAATATGTGTCCATAGAACACCAATCCCCCATTCGCACTATACATATCCATGTTAATTTGCATATTTTGTTAAACAGTTCTCTGCATCATGAGTTTCATTTTGATGTGATCTTAAAGTAACTTAAACCCAAAATTTAACCTCACACACGCTTTAATTGACATTTTATTGTAAAAAAAACTCAATTGAAATCTTGGTCAATCCATAAAGACAAGTGGCGATAAGGGTCTTTTTTTAGACCCGTCGCAATTTTCATTTAATTTTTCATGTTGTAACCGTCGGGAAATCGTGACACTGTTGTATTTATTTTATATAAGATTGAGAATGGAAACGGTATTCTGTTTGTAGCATGTAGATGTATAATGGGGTGGGGTGATAAAGGCGAATAGGACATGTACTTTTTAAGTATTACACAAACTTAAGTGCATACTTTTTGGAAATTGTTTTTATATTCTAATTATTTTTTCGAATCAAACTCGAAGGAAAATGTCAAAGATACACAAAATCTCGTAGTATTCAAGAGAATTTTGTAACGTAATAGGGGCCTAGATGGACGAGTTGTTTAAGTAGTTCAACTACAATGTTCACTCTGAGCCTTTCAGGACTACTCGTGTCTGTATTTTGACCTCAATTAACCTGGATTCGCATAGAGTAATAAAAGTGGCGTTAAACATCAAATAAATCAATCTCAATATAACGTAACGAACATCAAGAATCTCTTATGGAATACGATATATATTTATCCTTTGGTTTATGGAGAAATAGTTCATCATTATATTTGTTTCATAATCTCATACATCTACGCCATATCTAAATTCTATAAATGATATTCACACATTTTGTCTCGTGCTATAGGTAGAGTCCATAAAATGATTTTTTTTCCTGCATGAGAAGTATACTTTTACATTTCTGTCGTAACAATTGTCGTATATGAACTAATATACGTTTTGTCTTTCAACCCCCAATGAATCGACTGCCGGTGTAGATAAAGATTGCACTGCCTAATCCTCTCTCGTCAGGAAGTAAATCCCTCGCTGAAGTGGTCGTCAGTTCGGATGTGCTGGATGTATACATACGCAGTCATGTCCGCTTAATATGGAAAACGATGCCCCGTCACACAGTGCATACGAATTTCACACTCTCTAACAGTTAAGATTCTTTGTTATTACATAATTATGGGTCTGTCGGTGTCAGAATGCAAGGCAACTTTTTTGCCCTATCCAATATGTCATCTTTTAAAGAAATGCATTTATACTTGCCAACTTACCTTGCAAAATTGACATTTTTCCCGTATGCATGAAATTTTGCCATTGTACAATTTCCTGCCAAGTAATATAACAAAGTATGTTGATGCAATTTACGGATTATTTGTTAATATCTTTGTTTGTAATTTTTGACAAAGGCAACCATATTTTTATGTATAGGAACAGTGAAAAGGATAAATCGAGAGGAACATCATGTTGAATAACGGAAAACATACAGCGATAGCGAAATGAATATT